TTATATTTAATTAATTCCTAATAGGTACTTTATAAAGGTTATTTAAAAATCCAATTTAAGTAAAAACTTTTAAATAAATAATACTTTAAAAGTTAAGGTAATTTTTAAAATTATATTAATTTTAACCTTTTTATTTTAATTAGGAGCTAGTTTCTTATTTAATTTATATTTTATTAATAAGGTTTTTTTTAATATAAGAGATAACTCTTTTTTATTAATATCCTTTTTTATAAAATAAATTAATATATAATAATTATTTTAATTATAATATTAATAAATAATTTTATTTATTTTATATTTATTAATATTTATACCTTTTAATATTATAATTATATTAATTTAATATTTATTTTTCTTTTTTAATTTAAGGGTTAATAATATTTTAATTATAATTCTTATATTTTTAAGCTTATTTCTTCCTTTTAAGGATTAATCTTAATTAAAAGTGGAATAGGTTCCTTTATTTTATTAACTTAACTTTAAAGATTTTAAGGTTAAAGTAGGCCTACCTTTTTTTAAATTAAATAAACTAAGATTAATTAATATATTTTTATAAATTCAACCTGTTTTTATAATAATAATAATAAACTTTTTATTAATATTAAAGATATTACCCTTTTATAAATATATTAATTTAATAATTTTATTTAATAAAGTATAAATAATATAGTTTTAAAATGTTATTTTAAACTATTTTATTATTTTATTAAAGTCCAATAATTTAATTAAATATTAAATAATATCTTTTTAATATTTAAAGTTATATATTTTTTTAAAGTTATAATATTTTTTAATAGGATTTTTAAATTAATTATATAAAGTAAAAAAATATAATAACGCATCTCCCACTTGACCTGGCCACCCAATTGAGCTGGCCACCCCAATAACCTATATAAAACCCCATTATTTTAATCTATAATAACTTTGCGAATACTAATCGTACGATTTAATAATTAATACCTTTAAATCCGTTAGTTAAAGGGGAATCCAGCGGTATTTTTTACTATTTTTTATAAAATTCATTAAGCGAGATATTAAGCAATACGCTAAAGGGGCGCTAAGCAAGGATTAATTTAGTGCTTACTTTAGCGTATAGCTTGATAACTCCGCAAATATAGGTCGTAAAAGTTAGTAAAGGGTACCGTTAAATAGCTCTTTTTATTACGAATCTAATGGTATATTTTATTATTTTATACGACTATTATTCGTAGAGTTATTAAATTATCACGTGATTAGTGCACCGACGTTATTTATATGGGCTAGGGGGGTGGCCAGGTCAATTGGGTGGCCAGGTCAAGTGGGAGATGAGTTATTTATTAATTAATAAGTTTTATCTTTTTAATAAAATTTATATATTATTAATATTAAAGTTAAGTTTTTTTTATAAGTAATAAACTGGTTTAATTAATCTTTTAAAAATTTTAAAGGAAATTATTAATATATATTTTAATATAGGATTTTACTTTAAGCTATTATAATTTAAACTTAATAAGGTTCTTTTTATTATAAACTATTAGCTTTATTAAATATATAGGATTAATAAATATTAAAGTTAAATAAATAAGTTTTTTTAATATTTATAGGAATTGGTTTTTATTTAAGTTTATATTATTAAGGGGAGAATTAAGCGGAGGTTAAGATTTATAAGGATTTTAAAAGCTTTTAAATAATAAAGGGCCTTATAGGGGTTTTAAGCTTTAATAGTTATTATTAAAATTATTTATAGTTTAATATAAAAGCTATTTATTACTTTTATTTCCTTTAAATATAAAGGGTTTAACTTATATAAAGTTAAATTATATTTAAGCATTATTAATAATATATTATATTTATATTTATTAAAGGGATTAATTTAATAATAAGTTTTATATATAAGCTTTTAAACTTATATATTATAAATATAAATAAAAGGATTAAAGGAGTAAGGAAGTATTTAAACTAATATTTATATAATAATTAAAAATTAAATAAAGGTTACTTTTTTATTTATACTTTTTAATATAATATATATATTAGGTTCATTATTAAAAATATAATTTTAAGCTATATATTTATTAATAACTTTATAAATATATTTTTAAATATTTTTAAATTAATATTAAGAATATTTATTTAATTAAAATAAGTTAATATAGTTTTAAATAAAAAGGTTATTAATTTATTCCTCCTTTTAATTAGTTTAATTAATAATTTAATTTTATAATACTTTTTAAATAATTAATTTATATTTTAAGGTTATAAAGGCGTTATAATTTTAAAGAGCTATATATTATAATTAAATAACTATTTCTTTTCTTTATTTATTATTTTAAGTATATTTAATAATAATACTTTAAATTTATTATAAAAAGGAAATGCTAACTTTAATTATTTATTTTTAAAATATTAAAACTTATTTAATAATAATAATAATTTAAAGTTAATAAAGGTTATAAATAATATAATATTATTTCTTTAATTTTATTATATTTTAATAATGTTTAATAATAATATTATTATAAAAGGTTATAATAGTTAAATATAATATAAATAACTATTTATATATTTATATTATTTATTATAAAAGATTATATATAAAGATTAAAAATATAATTAAATTAATTAAATCTTTATTTATTATAATTATATTAAAATTAAATAAGTTATATAATATTAAATTTATAATTTTTTAAAAATTTTTAAAAGTTAAAAAGGTTATATTAAAGTTAATAAAGTTAATAAAATTTAATTTAATTAATAAAATAGGGATATTAATTTTAAAAATAAAAGGTTAATTAAATTATTAAATATTTTTATAAAAATTAAATTAAAACTATTAAAATTAAATATTTTTTTAAAAGTAATATTTTTAATTAATATTATATTTATTAAAATTAATAAATTTTATTTAAATATTAAAAGTATTATTAATTATAAAGTATTTATTAATTTAAAGTTAATTAATTTATTAATTAAATAACGCATCTCCCACTTGACCTGGCCACCCAATTGAGCTAGCCACCCCCCCAGCCCATACAAAAAACATCGGTGCGTTAATCATGTGATAATTTAATAACTCTACGAATATTGATCATATTCAATAATAAAATACACCATTAGATTCATAATAAAAAGAGCTATTTAACGGTACCCTCCATTACTTTATACGACTTATATTTGTGGAGTTATTAAGCAATACGCTAAAGTAAGCGTTAAAATAATCCTTACCTAGCGCCCTTTTAGCGTATTGCTTAATATCTCGCTTAATAAATTTTGTAAAAAAAAAAAAAAAAAGTACTACTAGATTCCTTATTAAATAACAAATCTAACAGTACTAACTATTAAGTTGTAGGACCAATATTGGTTAAGTTATTACAGATTGAAACATTGGATTTTTATATAGATTAGGGGGGTGGCCAGCTCAATTGGGTGGCCAGGTCAAGTGGGAGATGCGTTAAAGATTAAAGTAAAATTACTATTAATTATAAATTAATTAAAATTATTAAAAAGGGAATTAAAGTAATAATTATAAAAAAGATTTATTAATATTTAATATAAAGGAATTTAATAATTATAAAGCTTTAATTAATAAAATTATTATAATAATATATAAATAAAATATAATAAATTATATATATTATATATATTATTAATAATTAAAAATAATATTTATTAAAGAATATAAATTACTTTTATAATATTTTTAAAGGTATAATAAAAATTAAAATAATTAAATTATTAATTTAATATTATAATAATAACTATATAAAAAGTTAATTATTTATAATAAGGGTAGTTAAATTAGGTTTAAAAATAAGGATTTTAATTATAATAATTAATTAAGGTTATATTAATCTTTAATTAATTAATTCCTTTTTAACTGTTAATAGTTTAAAATAACTTTATATATAAATAATCTATTAGCCTAGACCGCTTAGCTTTTTAAGGTCTGTTTTAAGAAGCGAAGTCTATATAACCTTACTTTTTAATATTGCCCAATATTACCGGCATGTTTTGGAAGGTTATAAACAACCTGTAATGGTCCTTCGTATAGCCGAAGTGTAAGGCGAACTGCATTCTTCAACCGGTACAGAGGTTATACGTGTAACAGTATTTGTCATATCTTGAAAATACTCAATAAGTGGGCACGAGAAGCCGCCACGGAGTGTTATATTAGAGACAAGCGACACTCAATTTGAATCTGGGTTACATCTAATACCCATCACCTCAGGGGAGCACTCTACTCGTCACCACCAGCACGACCTAGCGAGAACGTGTGTTACACGCACAACCTCTGTGCTAGCTGAATAAGCAGTTCGCCTTGCACTTCGGCCGTACGGCGGACCATCGCAGACAATATTGGGCAATATTGGAAAGTGAGGTTATACAGACTTCGTTTCTTGAAACAGATCCCAGAGACCTAGGCGGTCTGGGCTGGCAGACCAGTTGTATATAGAGTCAAGTCAAGCCACCAACAGCCAAGAAGGAGTTGGTTGGTCGAGGACTTATGCAGCCCTAGTTGTTCATTGTAATCTGAATTGCCTGGATTCCGGGCCCGGTATTACTACCCTTGTTATAACGTGGTACCTAGTCCTCCGTGCTATGCGTCCTAGGTCTTGTTGTCTGTAGCTCACAAAGTATTTTGATATATCCTGACGTAGATAATAGCTTGGGGAGTATTTATTTTGCTATTAATTGCTAAATGTGTGATCATGTTTCTGGGTCATGGGGGATTCGCAGGCGCCATGCTCCGCTACGTACAAGATCGACCGCTTGATCTATACGTAAAGGTAAGGAAACTGAAACCAGCACATAAATTTTTGCATAAGGGTATGATTAGGGTTCTTCGTTGAGACGTATCGAAGCTAAATATTCACGGGCGTTTCGATAACGCCTCATCGAATTGATTCTCGGTGTCTCCTCAGCAACCGTGTGCCTCCTAATAGATTATCTGTTTATACTCTTTCAGTGTAGTTGACACCAATAATTCATTTTCTGGCGTATTTTCTGTGAACGCTGCGTCAATTCAAGAAATCACCTTTGGTCTTGGCGACCTGCTCATCGTAGTCTAAAACAGTTAGCAACAAGCTCCTGAAGAAACAAGTAATAAATGTAGTAGTAAGTGTAGATAGTTGAAGGCAGGACCACATACACCCCTGAAATGCCAGCCACCCCTTCTCCGGCCCGCCAACTTGTGTCGCCGTGTACGCAGCCTCATCATCGTCAATGAGGATCTTCTTATGTCCGCTGCCTGCCGCCGCAGCATCAGCGAGCAGTTGAGCCTGACACGTTCTCTCGAGGCTGATAAACCAGAAGGCTGCCTCATCTACACTCTGTCCCACGGTGAGAATACCGTGATTCTGGAGGATCACGGCTTTGCCACCCCCAAGAGCGGTGGCGATCCGTCGTCCCTCTTCCTCGTCGAGCACGACGCCCCTGAAATCTCGATACACGCCGTGTGAGTTGTAAAATCGGCAAGCGTCCTGCGTAATCATCTCGAGCTCTCGCCCAAAAGCTGAGAAAGCTTTCCCGTGCACGCTATGCGCATGGCACGCCGCCGTGACATCGGGACGCGCCTTGTGGATTTGCGAATGGATCGCGAAGGCGGCGCCGTTGATGGGCTCATTGCCTTCTACGACGGTGCCGTGCTCGTCACACAGGATGAGGTCAGATACCTTGATTAGCGAGAAGTGCATTGAGAGGGGGTTGAGCCCTGTGAGTCTCATATATTAGCAATTTCGTAACCATATAATCTTCCTTAGAAGATCCATTAGACTGTGCCTTACAGAAGTGGTTGCTGAGGATCGGATCTCGGACTGAAATATGGCCAGCAACGCCCTCGTCAAACCCTCGGTCAGCGAACACCCGAAAGGCGGCCGCGAGGTGTTGCTTCCGGTACAGACGCTCATCTTCGAGGGTTTTGAACTTCGGGTACGATCTGATATTCAGCTTCTTTCCACTCTTAGTGGTACCAATAACTTGAATTTGAGGTGCATTCTGCTCTCTGTGTGTTCCATTCACTCCGTTCATTGTGAGCTTCCCTAGTGTGCTGCAATTTATATTGGAAAGATGACTGCTATTATTTCAGGGGCCGTCCAACTAGCGGATCTGATATTCACTCTTTAGTTTGCATTGACAACTTTGACCTTGGCGGGACGTTTAATAGCCTTGGCCGACATGTAATCTCTTTGTATCGTGATATCCGTCTTAGCGCGGGGAAGTTGGTGTAGATCAAGTTAGCTCTGGTGGTCTGAACCAAACGCCGCGCGGAGTCGTAATTCCGGTTACTCTCTCCAACCATTCTTGCGGGGAAGCTCGGGTTGAAAGCATCCGATCTATTCGCTGAAGAGTCATTATAAATATCTCTATTATCCCAAGTGTGATGATTTGCGATAGGTGTCTTTATATGGCAGGCTGTCTAAGTGAAACGCTGAAACGGTCTTTAAAAGAAACATACATTGGTATTTTAAGTTGCGTACTGAGACCAATTCTCATGAGAGGAGGCTACACTATTTACTGATGTCCTCACACCCACATCCAGCGTTTTGTCGTACTGAGTATGTACGAGTGTATGTTATTAGGGGGGAATTCGGGATCCAGATGAATATCTGAATGAATCATGTTGGCTATCTGGAGCCATAAATATGGTACATTGGCGTACGCTTGGAATAACATTCTGTAGCCTAGTGATCTCAGCGACTAAGGCTTTTGTGATATCCAAAGAACACAACACTAGGGCGAAAACCCGACACCTGCTAGCTCGCAGTGTTCTAGGGTAAGTCAGTGTCCTCCCGGGTCCTAGCTCCTTTTCGGTTTCGATATCTGTCACCATTCTGAAGGTGAAGGTAGCAAGCATGTGAAGTGGTTATTATAACGAGACACGACACCCCTAAACTAGTTGGACGCGGTCAACGTGATTTCTCCAGCCAAGGCCTTGAGCGGCCATTCCATGGCCCATAAAAAGTGTTGAGGCATCATATTAGAGATGCCATGTATGCTGTAATGTAGGACGTCGCGATTATTTGAGCCCCGGCTCCACCATAAGTGATCGATAAACCCCAGCACGGTCAATATGCGAGCATAGAGTGCGAGGGCCAATGGCTGGCCAGCTTCTAGTAGTTCCACTGTATAGTTTTGTTTTAGTATCTACTTCCAAACCGGGGAATGACAGACCATGCGTGGTGCCTCAAGACACGGTGCTGCCACTAAGTGGGAAAAGGAAGACTAAGCGTTGACTTACCATATTCTGGCTTCATTCTGTCTGCCATAGTGAAAACCAGTCGTTGAACGACGGTGTTATCCATCTTCAAGACTAATGCTGTATACAAGTTAACCACACAACTGGCCGTGTCTTTGTAGAGGTTAGCTTCGTTGGTGGGCATAATGTGGATTTGAAAGGTGTCTAGTAGCCTTTCTATATCTTGGTTTATGTCGCGTAGGAGTGGGTGGTCAGGCTGTATTAGGGCACTGTTTGGAGCAAGCAACCATATGGCCCCCGGGTCGTATCCTGCTTGGGCAAGCCATTTTTCGTACTGGCGATGAAGGGCACAACATCCGCGAACCAAGGCAAATACGTGGGTTGGAATGCGGTACTCTGACGTGGGTGACCGCCGATGCGCAAGATTCCAAGTTGTGATACATAACATGAAGGCAGTAAGAAATAGTGGCTCTTCAAGCTTGTTTTCTATGCGGCCAAGGTTGTATCGATGCTTGGTTAATGTTCGGTCGAGATACAGATTGACAGACATCTCTAGCTTGGGATCCTCTGGCGTAAGATCTTGCATATGTAGGGCTGCGACTGCGAGCAGGGAGTCGAGCAACAAATCCGATTGGAAGGCCATCTGTGGGACTTTGTCTATCCAGAGCTCTTTGCTTGTATAGCCGTACGTTGCCGGCAACTCCAAGGCTGCGAACTGTGTATAATGATAGAATAGCCGCATTTCCAGCTGCCGCTGTGTAGGGTCAACAGACACTCCCCCCGGCTTTGGCATTAAGCTCATGGGCACCGAGCCGGGCTGAGGGATAGACTCTTCGGCGTCATGCTTCGATAATTGCCGGCTTGGCCTCTGGCAAGTCGAAGGCGATGGATAATCACACCTCTTGACATCATAGAATCTCCTTGCACAGTTACCGCACACAGGGCGAACTTCATCACACTATCGCTCGGGCCCAAGACGTTAGTTTGATGCCGGAACAGACGAAGGAACCATTGAAAGCACGAATCTAACCTTGATCTTTCGCCGCTTGCATGTTTGGCAGCCATGGCGTGACTTGCGCAGCCTTAGCCTAAGGGAAACAGTAAGTTCTTCAGAGGTCTCCATGGCTCTCTTTCTGGCGTTTGGATGGAATCAGGCGAGGTAGAGAACTCCACCGAAACGAAGTGAGTAGTAGTATAGTAGTATATGCGAGCTTGTGAGTCTCTCGAGACTGTTTTCGGCTTACCCAAAGAGTCGGCCAGAATTCGTGACGTGATATCGTGTCGGTAGTGTAGACATGTCTCTCTCATAGGCTATTGCCGCCATGGGCCCAGGCAGTTGTTGAAACATGGGTCAGACCTTGACCAGCTTACCGCGTGCGATTATATGTACAGTACACTAATCGTACCCAAGCAGGGGCCATAAGCAGGCAAGCGAGGACTGCGGCCGGCAGCGTCTCCCCACAAACCAGGACGCAGGCCAATCGATGGCAGATGACAAAGCATCCCATCAACTATATATAATCACCTCGGGCTACCTACAGTAACCTGATGACACAAACTCCGTATACTACCTACCTGTTCAAGGACTCGCGGGGAAACTTGGCTGTCAAGATCCGTCAAAGACCGTCAAGGTAGGCCATCCAATATGATGGCCTGCCCACCAAGGCGTCACTAAGGGGCTTGGCCTAGAACGACCCGTGTAGACCGGAACTGTGTAGACCCGCCGGTCGTCTATGGACTCAGTTGACACTTTATTTTGACTCCCAACCAACTTCATCATCATTGAGTATCGACATATTTTTTGGCCAGCTAACTCAGATAGATGACATTCACTACCTCGGCTTAACTACACGGCGGTCAACAAAGCCGCCGTGCTGCAACCTGTCGCATATACCAGAGTGGATTAATCCATCTGCTACCAGATTTCTATGCTTCCGCTGACTATGCGTACAGACCTTTTTCGGCGATAAGAATCCCATCGGCGTTAACATGCGGCGTTAATCACCTGTCTGACCACGAATATAACCATGTAAAGCAGAGGGGATATGAGCACGAAATAGGAACAGCAACGCCTGGCATTGAAGAAATTAGTGTACATGCTATGTTTATCGCTGACCTGCACCTTTTGCCTAGTATATCTTAGTGTAGGACGACATGGCCATGACTTGTTCCATACTTACTTATGTGGCTTGCTACACGTACATCCCCACACGATCAACCCAGATGCCTGACATTCCGTTTGGCTCTGGTCTGGCATAAAGACCCATCCCATCCATGTCTGCTCAACGGCTCGTTCCGTAATGACATGTTATGCCACCTCCAACGTCGAAGGACTCTCAGAGATTCATGAGACGTTGAATCGAAGACGGATCATCCGATAGGTACCCCCGGAGCGCCCACTTCGGTACTGAATCTTAGCGAGCTCATTGGGTTGTTGTCGATCGAGAACGTATTACATATTGACCACTCCATGACAAACAATCTGACCAACTTCTAATACATGTTTAAAGGTTCTCGAATAACCGGTCAGCTATCAATTAGCTAGACTGCTGTCTACTCACATGCAGAGTAACTGTTGTCAAAATGCACTGCCCGGACAGGCATCAGATCGATCTAGTACTCATACCTACCTCTACTTATGATGGGATACCCACCCACCTGGCTCTACTACCTTGTATACGCCGTATGCTGACAACTGTCGGTCCTTACCTAGGTAGTCTCTGCTCACGCTTCCACCTACATCAAAATAGGCAGTCCTGCTAAGAAGTGTAAGCATAGATTCGAAACTGTTAAATTAAGTTAAGTTTATAATGCGCGGTTGTCATGACCTTAAGTTATGCATACCTGGTGCCCTGGACAGTGGACACTGGCAATACTACTACTTACTTACACAGCAACGTCGAGTTCACCTACTCTGACCTACTTACAAGATGTCCTTGAAATAACCATCGGTACCTTACTATGTACATAGGCGAAATAGGCAGAAGAATAACACAGGCAATGTATTGTGCCGATAAGCGATAACACTTGGATGAGCCACTCTTGCTTATGAGACAGTGACGACACAGCGAACGATAGCAACCGATGACGCGCGTGGGGCGCAGACCCCCGCCAAAATCCTAGCTCCCCAATGTTGCGCTGCTGCTTGCAACTGAACGGCGCCTGGCTCTTCATTTGCTTCGTTCGCTTTATTCTTCATATGGGTTGAGTGTGAGCACTATCTCTCACTCCTCGCTGCTATGTGGCCCCCTTCGATAGGGCCGATGCAAGTCCCGACAACCACTTACTGACCACGACTGAAGCGGCGATATTGTTACAACAGCATTGACTGAGACTCTTCTCTAGCTCCTCATCATCTGCCGATATTCGCCGCGCCCCTAGCCAGTACCCGATCTCGAACGTGCCAACACCCAAACGACTGTATCTTTTCGATTGGTATCGAGACAGAAGGACGGATGGGCAACTGGCTAGCTACAACCACGACCACGACCACGACCACTGTCTTCATCATTTGTGAACAACAACTCTCACCAGCGCGCGCTATACCAGGTTCATTGCTGTTTCCTTAGACGGCTCTTATCCCGATTATCATCACATCGTTTCAAGACTTACCTGCTTAGCTTCACTAAGCTAGCTAAACGTACGCAACATGTCTATACGAATCGTACTCGATAAACCGCCCGAGTTCTATACAAATCTCGACTTCATCAGCGGCCGTGTTATAATAGTCCTCCAGCGTCCCGAGACCATCGGAAACATAATAGTAAAGTTAGAGGGCGAGTCTGTGACAGCTTTGGATATCCGTCCCGAGCGCCGTGATGAATACAACGTGCCAGGAAACGTTATTACCGAGAACCACAAAATCCTATATAGAGTATTCCAGGTGTATCCAGATGACGCCGTCGCGCTCTCCTTCCAGCCAGGCATGCACGAGTTCAAGTTCAACTTCAAAGTTCCGCTCAATAACATTTGCCATGATGCAAGAGCCATAAGCTCGGTAATGGGTGTCGGTGGTCTTGGCGGCGTGGGAAATGCAGGTATCTTGGGTAGGGGCGGCTTTCGAACCATGGATGGAGCAAAGCAGCTGATGCTTGCTCACGTCAAATCTACATTGCCCCCTTCGCTCACAGGCTTCCCTCAAGAAGCCGAGATACGCTACTACGTCAAGGTGACCATTCAACGTCCCGGCATCTTCAAGGAGAACTGGCGTTATCAGCTAGGATTCAAGTTTCTGCCAGTTGAGCCACCAAGACCAGACTCGGGCAAGCAGGAGGCATTTGCCCGTCGCCCTTTTGCTTTCAAGCCTCGTACCCCTCTCTCTGGCCGGAGGTCTTTCTTTGGTAGCAGGACAACCAATGCGCACAATGGAGTGGGTCAGACGCCTCCATCGTTCGAAATCTCTTCGCGGCTACCATTTCCCTCCATATTAACATGTAACGAGCCACTTCCTCTTCGACTCATTGCGAAGAAACTCGTACCAGCACAGGAGCAGGTTCATCTGACGGCCCTCGAGATTGCCTTGGTCGGCTACACGCATGTTCGTGTTGCAAATATCGAGAAAGTCGAGCAAACTAGGTGGATCGTCGTTTCAGCGCTCAACCTCTCAATAGCACTAGGATCGCCGAGTGATCCAGTGGATACTGAATTCGAGATACCGAATGACTCATGGAGGACACAACGACTCCCAAACACAGTCGCTCCTTCGTTCAGAACCTGTAATCTCATGCGGCGGTATGGGCTTGAAATGAAGATTACTCTGAATTGGGGCTTGCCAGGAGCTGGAAAGAGCAGCGGCTTGCTCCCGCAGGCTGTCTCGCTGCCGTTAACCATGTCGAAGGTTGAGGTGTTCTCCGGTATCAAACCGCCCGCTCAATTGCTCCAAACAGCGGTCTCACGTCCCACTGGCACGATCCCGAGTGCCTCCAGCAGTGTCAATGTCAACGGAAACGAGACGGCACCTCGGCCTCCGCCTCGCCCAAGCACGAATGGTAGACCGCCGATTCCGCCGAGAACCAATGATCCTTTATACCCCCCACAGCTAGGGCCGGACAATGTGCCAGGATACGATGATGCACCACCAAGCTACGACGAGGCAATGGCAGAGTCCCTGACTGGACCTCTCGACCGCCCTGCCTATAGCGGTGTCACCGCGGAAAATGCGCCGAGCACGATGCCGCCTGAGAAGTCGTAACAATTCATGAACCAACGTTGCATGGAATGAAACGGTATCACCTTACTCTGAGCCAAACTCAAAACCATCAAGGCATATAAGTGAAAGATAAACTTTACAGAAGGCTTATTTTCATGCCGAAACGATTCTTTTTTTATTTTTATTTTTTTACACATTATGTAGAATAACTACGCTAAATCGCTAGATGGCATACGTTGACAAATGATACCCCCTTACCAACCAACACCCCTTTTCTCCTTTTTTTTTTTTTTTTTTTTTTTTTTTTTTTTTTTTTTTTTTTTTGGCTCCCAAAGGAGCGAATGCATGCCATATTCCAAAGCCTAAATCATGGGGGAGAACAACGGGGCTTGAGCTTAGATACGCGGAGTCGCGGTGTTAATGAGCGATTGACGAGGTCAATCAATTAGTTAAAAGTGGGCGGTTTCTAATCCGTCCATTGAATATTCATTGTATTGATAATTGATACAGTATATTGATTAGCGGCCAACTAATTACCTCGGGCATGCTTACGGAGCTCGTGGTAAAAAAGGCCGTTTGGATGCTCCCAATTACCTAGGCAGGCTTATTTATGTATGAGTGTAGACTTAGATTTTTCGCCCTATGTTGCGGTAACTACATAGATAGCTAAGTATCTGCTTAGTCTGCACACAAGAAGAGGTATAAGCTAAACCTAAGACAAGCCATCGAGACTGAGGCAAGCAGTAAATGTGTGTATATATATGCTTTGATGAATTTCGCGATCTATATACAATGGCGTTTCGAGATCTAGCTGAGTCCATGATGATGATGATGACGCATCCAAGTGCGAAGCTATCTATCTAGACAAGTTACATACGCTTAATATGCAAGAAAAAAAATAGGAGAGGGGTCAGATAATATCCCTTCCTACAATGCATCTTTTACTTGGGTGAAAATTCATCTATGCAGCGCAAGATAGATAGGGAGGGAGGGAGCTGGTATCATGGGATCACCTCTAAATCGCGATGAATTGCTGTCTCATGGGTCGGCGCTTCCTCATAGCGTGGCTCTGACTGTTCTTGTTCAGGCCGGTCTAGGTTAGGAATATCGAAATACTTGGACAGTCAGGGTTTATAGCTTCTCTTTCAAGGAGCTCTTGAGACGCTTCTCGACGGCGTTCAGGTACTCGGTGGTAGTGACGTAGTCTTCACGAGCGGTCTTACCGCACGCGAGGGCAAGATCCTTGGTCATGATTCCATCAATGTCTACTGTGTCGACACAGGCCTTTTCAAGGGACTCTGCGAACGCGACGACATCAGGAGTGTTGTCGAGCTTGCCACGCTGGACCAACCCACGGGTCCAGGCAAAGATGCTAGCGATGGGGTTCGTGGAGGTCTCGCGGCCCTTCTGGTGCTCGCGGTAGTGTCGTGTCACGGTACCATGCGCGGCTTCCGACTCGAATGTCTTTCCGTCGGGTGTGATGAGGACCGAAGTCATAAGACCTAGGGAGCCGAATCCTTGAGCTACGATATCGGATTGCACGTCACCGTCATAGTCTAGTAATTGCGAGTTAGCTCAGCCATTAAGTGCATGCATGACACCTGGGTTGACAATGACTTACTCTTCAGGGCCATGATGTAGCCTCCAGAGCTCTTAATCATCTGAGCGACCATGTCATCAATGAGACGGTGCTCATACCATATGTTCTTAGCCTCGAATTCCTTCTTGTACTGAGTATCGTATATCTCCTGGAAGATGTCCTTGAATCGTCCGTCGTACTTCTTCAAGATAGTGTTCTTGGTGCTCATGTACAGCGGGAGGCTCTTGTCGAGCGCGAGCTTGAAGCTCGCATGCGCGAAGCCGGTGATACTCTCGTCCGTGTTGTACTGGGTCTGGGAAACGCCACCACCGTTCTTGAATTGGAAAACCTCAATCTCCTCGGGCTGGCCACCCTCCGGAGTGTAGACCATGCTCAGCTTGCCGGGCCCCGGGATAACGCGGTCCTTAGCGCGGTATTGGTCGCCGAAGGCATGACGTCCAATGATAATGGGCTTCTTCCAGCCAGGCACTAGTCGAGGAATGCGGGGGATGACAATGGGTTCGCGGAAGACAGTACCGCCTAGCGCATTTCGGATCGTGCCGTTGGGAGACAACCACACTAATTAGAAAGAAAGAAAGAAGGAAAAGTCAGCAAAGGGGATTGAGAGTTTGGGTACGTGGCCCATGTTCTGACAATTGGCGAGAGGGAGAAGTAGGGCTATGTAGGGGCGCGTGGAACACATGTGACGAGGAATGCGGGGTCAGGGATGTTGCCAACGCCCATCATGCAAGTATGGCTGCAGCAGCATGGCGGCGGCATGCAAGCCAATGCTAAGAAAAAAAAAAAATATTTGCAGCAGCAACAGGATGCATATCAGATCGGCGGGGCTTACTTTGCTTGAGCTTGAACTCCTCAACACGCGCCTCATCAGGAGTGATGGTGGCGCACTTGACACCCACCGAGTACTTCTTGATAGCCTCGGCGGCGTCGATGGTGACCTGGTCGTTCGTCTCGTCACGGTACTCGAGGCCAAGATCGTAGTACTTTAGGTCGACATCGAGATAGGGAAGGATGAGCTTGTCCTTGATGTCCTTCCAGATGATCCTAGTCATCTCGTCGCCGTCTAGCTCGACGACGGGGTTCTGGACCTTGATCTTTTGCGCCATGTTGATTCTAGTGTGGTGGAAAAAGGCGACGGGTGCGGCTGGGCGAGCGATAGCAATGGGCGATGACGTTCTGAATGGGAGCGCAGATCGAGATCTGGGCAGGAAGGACGACCGGACGAGGCGGGTGACTGGAAAGACGGTATTCATGATGAACAGAACCGGAGGGACGGAAAGGCGCACACTAGTCGACGATAATTATATGTGTGTAGGCAAGACCCGACTCAGGGCCCGGGCGTGGTGATCAGACAGGAGGGACAGCCGAGGAAGCCAATCGCAGCGAGAATTGTAGCCGGGCAGTCTCGAGAGCTCGGAACGGACCAAAGGACGGAGCTAGTAGGAGGAGCAGGAGGAGCCTCGGGCTAGCTGCAGCAGATATAGTATGTGGATGGCTAGCTGGGTGTATATGTATGCCTGACCGACTTGTCCTGACTTGTTGTGTGCAGTGAATCACCACCTGGGGAACCGACTTGAGTTGCCGAGCGATCGAACGACCAAAATATGAGAGCTGGGATGGCAGGGCGAGTCGAAGGAGAGAAAAAAGCTGCTATTAAGCTATCAACTAAGTGGCCGATGACGGAGCTTCTGGGCTACTTAGTCGCATGCTAGAAGACGCGAAGAACAAACGTTCAATTCACCTAGGTATTGCGAAGGAACCAGACAAATCGAATTGCGACGATCTGACTACCTACATGCTACGAACATTGTGGTGGTTCACGCAGGCATTCCTCGACATGTGTTGTTGGCGCTGCCCCTCGCTATATACCGGGTACTTTGAACAGCCGTCTGAAATGGGACACGGGGGGACAACGGTGAATCCAGCCACACAGCGCGAAGGGGGACAATGATGGGTAATAGGTAGCTACCTATTTTGTCTACCTACCTACCTATTATGTCGGATACATCCGGTTGCCCTCGTCTGCCCTCGCCTCAAAATCCCCCGCGATGCAGTTCCTCTGCGCGGTTGTGATGATACGGTAGCACGATGCCAGGGTCTGTATGTATGTACCTGGGTAGAGGTTGGTACTTAGGGTAAATGTCTCTTGACGTTGGGGCGCAGTTCTGTCCAGCTCGCTTCACCGGTACACGGCCTGGTCTAGGTACCTACCTACATTCATTCAGTAGATGCCAGTGCGAAGTGAGGGGAAATCCACCCCACATTCTGCCGGTCCCCGTGCCGTCGCTTGTTCCAGGCTCGCCAGGCAATACATTAGATAGTGGTACTGATTTTTATCGACCTCCCATCTACGGCATCGCGGTGCACGGTACCGTTGCAGTAGATGCTGTCTGTCTGTAGCTTATTACAATGGCAATGCGTGCTCCCGGAAAAGCAAGCCGCCGCTGAGTGGACAAACCACGCCACCTGCAGCCCGAAACAGCTGCTGGTCTCTTGGAGGAAGGGGTCAGGCGGTCCATTTTGCAACCTGGTCGATACCTTTGCTGCCACAAGCTGGTTGGCTCCAAGTTCTTAATTCTCCCATCCCAGAGAACTCCAAAAGACGGGGGAAACAAAGTTTACAGATCCCATGCTGAGTGAGTAGGTGTGGGGCAAGACGAATAACACTACCTACCTCTTCGGCCCTACAACGGACACTCACTTTGCTATGTAGGAGAAGCCGGCCATTGGCATGCGTACGATTCGTAACCCGCAGTGATACGGAAGAGCGGTAGCTGCATTACTTCGGTCCATGTTTCTTCCTTCAACACTTCAAGCCACCGATATCACCGGGTTCCTGGAATATCTCCGACATGGTCAGCGTAGCCAGTACCATCCCCACAGAGAGAGCAGATGGTCAGATGAGGTCAGTGGCCAAACCCAACAACAAGCTCCCCAATAGTTTATATGTATATATATATATATACATAAGTCTGTAGGCCCTCGTGTGCCCTTCTCAACAAAGGCTTGGTATCCCTTACCTATATGTTACTCGGCCAGGTCTAAGTAGTTAGTTGGTTAGTCTCCAGTTAGAAGCAAAGAATGTCGGCGGCTTACTTGCAGCGAATTCAGTAGGTAGGTTGGCACCTAAATAGGCATCTAGCATGCCCATGAAAGTACCTAGCGGGCTACCTAACCTACCAGTACTCATCAGCAGCAATGTTCATACTTACTACCTAGTCTAAGTAGACAGTAGACATCATGGAATTGATGTAGGTAGTTGGACTTTGCAGATACAGACAATACCTAGGCCCATAGGTATATATATAGGGATGATGGAGGTACCGTATGGGATTATGGGGGGTTTAGAAAATAATGTTAAAGATCATTTTCAAAGGTGAAAACCATTTTCAAAAAAAAGGGTTGCAACTTTGGAGTAGGCCTAAAAGGGTTATCGGTACAGTATAATTTTCACTTTTCAAAATGATTTTCGTTGAAAATGGTTTTCGTTCAAAATGGTTTTCATTTGAAAATGGGCTTCAATATAATAGGTACATATAAAATATAAGGGTTTTATATATAAAAGTATTGTACCTATTATGTCCCCCAGTAGCTAGCCTTTGGGATAGCGACTAGGCTTTTGGCACCTGGAAACCCTTGCCATAATCACTTTCCAGACCCCCCTTTTCACGCTACGGTAACAATAATGTACTATGTATAACCAACTCGTGGGATTGATAGTAAGTAGGGAATAGGTAATGAAGCACATTATATTTATACATACATACCTACCGTCGTATCTCTGCCTACCTCTTTCTTACCTTATGTAACCTGTTAAATAAGCACTCGGGCATACAAGAAGCTCTCCTTGCTTTATTCAGGTATCTCGATTGCTATATCATTTCTTGCTATTCCAAGTATCAGTGCTAGAGATGCCAAGCTAAAAGGGTCTGGCCCGAAGACTACCTAGACTACCTAAGCACTCCTCCGGATCTACCTACATACTTAACCTACGCATCTGCCGGGCTAGAGACGGTAGGTAGAGTCCAGCCAGCCACGACACTATCCATATCCATCCCATCACAACGCGGTTTACTCTAGTTAAACTTGGTTAAACCAAACAGGTGTGTATAGGCAGGGGCTGGTAGGTACATGTCATGATTCGAAGTCGGGATTAAGATACGGTAATCATGGTACAGTGTGCGGTCGCCGGCGACGCAGTCGTCACAGGTAGTAGTAGCCACAGCAGAGTTCGAGAGTCTCCCAGGCCTGCAAAACTCAAAACAACATAACATCCCCCCTTCCCCTCCCTCCAGGCTCCCCAGGCTCCCCCAAGCCTCCCTAAACCTCCCCCGGACTCAAGCTGGGCCGGATGTCACGTAATTGTCTATCCTTTGCTGCTCTTTGGCTGGCTTTTGGCCGCCAGCATGACGCGAAACGCGAACCGAACTGAAATGAATTGAAATACCTACCTACCTCCCTACCTACCTACGAAGTACCTCAGGTATCTCATACTTAACGCAATCAATAGCTTGCTTGAGTCCTGTACGACCGGCACCGCAAGCCAGCCCATTCCCTCCATCCCCCAGGCCTTTTCTCGCTGCCCTCTTTGCTGCCCTCTCTCGCTCGCTCCGTCCATCCACCCACCCATCCATATCCATCCATCCATCTAAGCCCCCCCAGAGAACCCCCTGTAACCTGCCCGATATGCCTGTTGTTTACTGCTGACCCCGTCGAGGCCTCGTCGACGTGTACCCAGCTTGCTCTTCCCTCTCCCGTTAATCTTGACGCCAACCTGCGTGCTTCAACCCTCTCTGCACCTCTTCACTTTACGAGATCGCCTGCCTCATCTCTACATCATATAATCCTAATTCCCCAGCTCTTGCTTAATAATTTCACCTCTTTTCGCATCACAATGCCCGTTGAGCTCCGGAAGCGCAAGGCGCCCGCGCCCGCGCCCGCCCCCGAGCCACCTGCTAAGAAGCAGTCTAAAGTCTCAAAAGCAGCCGCCAAGGTCAAGGCGGCAGTCAAGAGCGCCGCTCCTGCGAAGCCTGCCGAGACTAATGGCTCCACGAAACCCGGGAAACCTGCCGTTGGCGATGTGATTTCTCTTGACGAATTCGGTGGCGAAGTCGAGACCAATGATGGTGTCAAGACGACTCTCAAGGCTCTCGTGGATGAGAGCAAGGCCGGTGTCGTGCTCTTCACATACCCCAAGGCCTCCACGCCCGGGTGCACCAATCAAGTCTGCCTGTTCCGGGACGCGTACACGGACCTCACCAAGGATGGACTACTCATTTACGGTCTTTCCACAGACTCGCCCAAGGCCAACACCACATTCAAGACCAAACAGAACCTGCCATACCCGCTCCTTTGCGACCCAAGCGCAACATTGATTGGCGCCATCGGGCTCAAAAAGACCCCCAAAGGCACCCAGCGTGGCGTTTTCGCAGTGGACAAGACCGGCAAAATCCTACTCGCGGAACCAGGGAGCCCCGCTGGCACGGTAAACGCAGTCAAGGAGCTCGTCGCAGCTGGCGGCTTCTCCACCACAAAGGGTGAGGCTGCCGCAGACAAGCCCACGAATGGAGAGGCTGCTGAGGAGAAGAAGGCCGGCGAGGTTGATGGAAAGCCTGCCGAGTAATAGCAAATTGGGAACGATCTAAATGGAGTTGGATGCTGGCCTTTATTTCAACTGTCCCTCGATTTCTGAATCCACCTTGTAACATCACATATGCGCGGCCCGTATTTCCTCGTCCCTGTCCCCCCCGCTTCGTTCTGGATGGCTGCAGCATGTCACGTGTGCTCTGTATACCCCTCTGCTTGACAGGCTGCCAGGCACTTCCTTCTCCGTCTGATATGCCAAAGAAACACCAATGTATGGTGCCTGAACTCAGCAACATTTGTCGCCCACGACGGGTATTCTGATCCAATATAACCAATATTCTGTAGCGTATTTTCTGCCTCGGATGAAGATATGGTCATTGCATTCGTAGGCTAAGGGCCTTTCTTCACAGCAAGGACGCGTCTGATCGCAGCTGATTGGCTGGCACTAGAAACAGCCCTCATATTGGCGCATAACAGAGTAGGAGCACGCCAGAAAGCCAGATGTTATATGATTAGTAGTCACCACAGATGGTTACATTCCTTGAGGACATCTCATGTTGGTTTGGTCGCGATGTAGTCGAGTGGTAGACAATGTCTAAGCCATTCTAAATCCAATTCTATACAAAAGTTAATCACTTGCTAAACTGTAGTAGTAATAAATTCACTATGCGTCTAATCTCAAAAGGGTTGGTCCTAAACTGCAAAGTATATTATAATGTACTGCATCCATGTGTCTATTCTGGTCTTCTCCTAACCACCGTGGCTGAACTGGAAGTGGTTCCCCAATGTTCGGTTTCGAGTCAAACCGCTATCGTATCTTCATAATTAGGTCGGCGCATCACGTAATTTGCGAGGGAATACATCCGACTCAAACTGATTCGTCTCTAGTGACAGGATTCATGACTCCTGGTACGAATGGTAGAAAGGTAATATGGCTCGGGACTAGTATGAAGACTGCAGATGTGAATGGACGTAGCTAGTGAGCTTCTTGCAGAAACATGTTAAGGACTAGGGATTGACATACATATACAGTTTACGAACCCGTAGTGTCGTTGACTAATAATACGTTCACGTCATATTATAGAGATAGGTCGAGTATATTAGAATCATAGGAAGACACAATTGTAATGAGAGGCTATCCAGCGTACGGCGCCAATTATCTTAGCCCAGACGGCTACCGTCTTAGTTCGTGGCTACTGAGCTTTTAAGAGTCAACGTAGATTCTCGAAAAAGAGGCCTACAATTCTCCCAATAATTCGGAAGTATAAACTCATAGCTCTAGCTAGTGGTGCGCATAATTTTCGCAAACAATGGGAGGAATCTTCCTGAGAGCAGTACGCAAGGTCACAAGCCAAGAGGCCCAATTCGTCCATGCCACTAACACATGCGTTTAGGGGAACACAGTCACAGCATAATTTCTCGGTCAAGAGCCTTGTTAGAATTTGTATTGGATACATTTAAAACGTTACACTCTAATAATTGGATTATGGGAGCAGTCGGTGCTTAAAGGCTCATCCGACCAGAGCTCTTTGTCCCAGAATCCTAGTTTCTCTCAGCGACACAGACCGACGTAGATTTCGTCGTGTCCTGCTAACTCCATCCAAGCCTTCCATCTGGAAAGTTACAATATCTGCTGCCGCTGGTATGCAGTCTGGCATTGTTAGAGCAGCTCGAATGACAAGCATGCAAATGTACAATTCTATATCTGCTCAATGGGTTGGTAGAAAGGTTAGGCAGATCAACGTAGCAACCCCCTGGAAAAAACAAATCAAGATAAAAAGAATAAATAGCAAGGCCAACATGGCTGACATGAAATCATTAAACCAACGCCGATTGATCAGGCCTTACAGCCTGCCTTAAGGGGAAGCGAGCGATATACGATCGATGATGAGTCCCCTTGGCCCAGTCAACCCAGCCTAGTAACTCCGGTGACCGAGACTCCAGTCCAAATGAGAAACGGGGTATAAAAGACGAAGAGAAATACAAACATGAAGAGAATGGAGGGAAACAGAGGTAAGTACGAAAGGGGGGAAAGAAGTTCTATCCTGCCATTGGTGTTTTCTCGTCCCCGTCTATCGTGTGTAGTGTAGTGTGCAGTGCTGTGTGGGTGAGGTGTGCTCACCAAGGTTGATTTTTCCACTTTGCTTCTTCATCTTGCACATGAATCAAGTCAACCGCTGACTGGCAGTAAACGAAATGCAACAGCCCATGACTTGCATTGCATTGCGCCTGCATCTTGCGCCCCCGCCTCCTCCACACATCTCACATCCCACCTCCGCTCCGCCTCCACCTCGTGGCACAAACACACACACACACACACCCCTACACACATATAACTGAAAACGCCATAGGATAGTTAGAAGAAGAAACATGCGAGATATGCGCAGCATAAAATCCCCGAGTGTCTAACTCGCTCAGGGCTGTGCTGGATTTGAGAAAGAGACGACGAAGAAAAGAATGGAAGAAGGAAGAAAAAAAACCCCCATAAAGGGGAGGAGAGCTGCGCTCCCGCCAATCGCTCTAAACGAACGCCACAGAGAGATGAAAAAATCGCGGGGGTAAGACAATAGACAGAAGAATAGATGATGGGAAAGGGTGTGAGGAGGTAATGCAGTGAGGCAATATTGGGGGAAGAAGAGTAAGCACAGCCTCCCCAGCTCTTCCAGCCCAATCGCCGACAGACAGACAGACACCAGGAGGTAAGCGACGAGTGAGGGAGGAGAGGGTTTCTCGCCGTCGGCATTGGACGTAGGGCGGAAGAGAAAAACAAGGCAGAAAAAAAATGATGGAGGATAAGAAAGATAGGTACTGCCGAACATAATGCAAGCAAGCGATTTCGATGGAAGCAGGCTCAGTTAATCCCCCCCGTCCGAAAGCTTGCTGTGCCAATTGAGTGCTGCGATGCTGCTGCGGCGCAAGATTCTAGCCCCTCTCCTTTGGACCTGAACGATTGCCGCTGAAGGTTGTAGTGTAAGGCATCGTGTGTATGTGCGCGCGCATGCGTATTCAGCTGTCGCTCGTCCGCTTAGGGGCTCCCAGCCGCAAAGTCTCCGAACGCCAGAAAGAGCCCAGGAAGAATAGGTAGCCAGTGTGATCGAGCCCAACCTAGAGGTGCAAGATCAGGCATTATTTGCTGTAATTGAGAATAAAAAAAAGTCTCTGTCGTTTTGTTCTGTGAAGCGGCCCTAGTCTCCCTCCCCCTTTCCTTTTTTCCCTCCTACTCTTTTTCCGTTCTTTTCTTTTATCGTTGTTTTTGAGTGCTTCCCGAAGCGGGAATCGTAAGATGGGTTGGGTTGTCTCAGATTGATTGTGAAAATGTATTCTCTTCCAGGCTTGTAAGCAGCTCGGACTCAGCTGATGGCGCTGGCCGCAGGCTGAACTCATTGAGCTCTGAAGTATTGCCTGTCTTGCTCACAGGGCGTCCTGCAGATGGGACAGACGTAGTCGTGCTCCTCGACCTTGACGCGTCCTAAACAACGTGTGCAGCGCCACCAGTCGGGGATGATTTTGCGTGTGCTCCACCACTTCTGATCCTCTCTGCTTGAAGAGCCACGCCGCATGAGATCTTCCATGTGATAGTCTCTGTAGTGATCACGCTGATGGTCCCGACGGTGAAAGGGGTCCCGGGCCCGTTGGCACTTCTTCCAGTCGCAGGGAAATTTCCTCTTCTGCTCGGCGGATATATGTAGTTGGCTATAGTGACGTTCGAGATCGGCTTTCCGGCGGAAGCTCCTTGCGCAATCCTTTTTCATGCAGACAAAGATGCCTTCATTGGCCTGAGAGCGGGGACTTGAGAAGGCTCATATTAGCATAAGCTACATTTATCGACGGATTAAAGTTGAAACACTCACGTTGGAGGATACAGGTCTTCGGCAATTCTGGTCACGGGTAGTTGATCTGTCGGTTGAAAACCTGGCTTCAGTCTCCAGTAAGGTTGTTGGTTGGGCTCCACGTCAGCGATAAAATCATAGTACTCCCACCAGCCATTTCCATACACAAATTCGGTCGTATATGTCGAAAACGAAGGGCTATGAGGCGTGAGTGAGTAGGTGGTGTCATGGCTAGGGTCGGATATAAGCGGCCAGTGACAGCTTTGGCTGCCGGCATAACTAGATGGCCACACGGAGTTGTAATCATCGTATTCTAAGCTAGGTGTTGGCGGTGGGATGTCGCTATATGTAGTAATTGCGCTCTCTCTAGATGAATCCCGGGTCATCGGCGTGCTGGCACTGGGGCTGGATGACCAATCTGACGATGCCCTATGGTCAGGAGCATAGTACTGCCCGTGGTTATAGTAACCACTGTTGTCAAATGGTTGAGTCATGATTTCGGGCTCTAAACTTCTATAATTGTAAGGTTTCTTGAGAGGGCTACCGGCATGAGCTCCGGAGTCCACAAATGAAGGCGGCGAACATGCACAACAAGTAGTGTATAAGTTATCGCTTTCTGTCCCGTCGCCACCTTTTTGATACGCCAATATATTTTGGCTGGGTTCCAAAAGGATGGTCAGGGGTAGCAAACTCAAGATAATTAGGATAGGCAGGGCAATATTTCAGAGTCGTAAATAGTGAAGATAAGATGAATGGGATGGTACAGGACGGAAGACCTGATTCCGCCTAAGCTTGGGACTCGTATCATCTTAATACACGACAGAGGTGAGCAGCGGTTAGCCTTCCACCGAGAGGCCTAGAGACCATCGTACTGGCTGTAGGTCACAATGAGGCTCTCAAGATGAAGAACACAAGTGTGAGGCGGACTGATGACTAAGAATACAGCACCGGCATGCGCAACGATATATAGCGTGCTGGGTAGTACATATTCTGAGATCCTCTCAGTGATTGATGATCGAAAAAGAAACGGAAGAATAAGATGTGCTAGCAGTCAATCTGTCAAGGTAACTCGAACTCGGCATAATTCTACGAGAACTAAGGGTTCATCGCCTCACTGATAAGACGAGATATTGAATTGCTAGTGGACAGACGACATGCAAAGCCACGCACACACCTAGGTCGCCGTCATTAACGCTAATGCGTGATAGACAAGAGCTTCAGGTAGGTAGATGTTGCGGACACCAGGACAGATGTCGAAGACCAGCTCTCGCACTCGCAAAACGCGGCCGATCTCCACCTGTAGATTTGCGCGGATTGCCTGCCGGCGTCACCTTCGGTGTGCAGTTGGGTAAGCCCATGATGCCGTCCCATTAGCGCTCAGAGTCAAGGAGCAAATTTCGGAAAGGAAAGAAACCCCCCGATTTACCCTGGACCTACTTACCAAGCGCGGTGTGGTCAGCATCAGGCCCATCCGCAGCTCATGGAGACCCAATTATGCCTCTTTTAAGGCTTCAAGTAGGGCTGGCACAAGTGTTGATAGGGATATGAGAGAGAACTGCCTGTCAAAGTATTGTAGAAATGCAATTTGACCAATGCTAAAAGAGCGGTTGTGATTGGGCTAGGCAGGCAGGCTGGTAGGTCACTTACACACGAAAGTTCTCGGGATACAAGATTCTCGGGATACAAGACCCCGAGGTGGCAGCGTTGGAGATGACAAGTCAGTCATTATCATAGGATCAGCATGAATCCAGGTTGTCTGTTTTCTGAGCTCCAATACTAGGTGCAGCATACACGAGACACAGGGCGACCGCGCTCTCCCTTTTTTTTTTTTATTTTTTTTTTTTTTAAATGCTAGAAGAAGAGATTAATAATAACAATTTCACTGGCTAGTCGTCGTGGGTGCTACCATGCCACAGCTTAGAGATCTAGCATTCGTGTATCAATTCAAATGTGCACATGCTGCCCCAAGGCGAAAAGCATCGATCAGCAGCTTGTAAAAGGGTACTACTGGCACAGCCGCCACTGGCCGGCTAGGTACAGTAGCTATAGTATGTGAATACAGCAAGTGACCAGTAAGAAATGATGAAACGCACGAGGCTTTGGGAGTACACATAGGCTATGACCCCCGACCTGCTCGCCATGTGCCTGGGCTGGGTCGCCTCCTGTTTGACAGCAAACGGGTCGCCTCCTGCGAGTGTGGTTGCCTTGCTGTTTTGGTTGCCTCTAGTGCCTGGCTGAGGAGAGGGTGAGCGCAAAGGGCTGACCAATGTGAAGTAACTCGTCGACGTTTCTTTTTCCTTCGCGATTCTAGTTTGGCTTGCAGGTACCTAAGTAGACGTACTACTATAGATATATAGACATACAGAGACCGGATCAGGAAGAGTGAGCGGCAAGCCGTAGTGGAAGTCCTCACAGACCACGTTGCACGAAAACACTTCTTAGCAGGCAGGCGTCAGCAATTTGTTGGCCCTGTTGGAATGTGTCGGTTTTCTCGGGACCGCACGATCCATTGAGTCATATTGATGCGGCTCTAATGTTGGATTCCGTGGCAGTGACACGACCCGCTGTCTTCTGCACCGGCCGAGACGATAGCGCGAGGAGGAGCAAGTCCCAGAAGAAACGAGGCGGCTTGCAACCCGCGACGCCCATCCCCGGTACAGCTGTGTTTTACACTGGTTTATTTCTTGGAGGATGTCCCCTACAAGCCAATGAGTAATGGCTGCAGTCTGTAGTGCTGAATCCTTCTGGGCCTCCCCGTCAGCGCTGGAACTTGACGTGTTCAAGGGCATTGCTCGGCGAATGAAGACACGATGAACAAGAAAAAAAAAAAAAAAAAAAAAAAAAGACCATGCTTACCGGGCTCCAGCTTGTCATAGACATGTCTAGGCACCGACCGTTCGGCAGGTAGAGTTGGGAAAACATCGCATAATCGAGGCGCAAAACGCCATGCTTCACACCCTCCGGTCATGATTATCCGGAGCATTGACTGTGCCCGTCCCTGATACTACCCATACTACCCAGTTTGCATCCAGCATCGTCATGGGGCTTCCTGGTCGATCATGGAGTTGCCCTGTCCTGGTTATCACTTGTCTACAGAGCCAAGTTGTTGCATTAGTTGGACATCTGCTCGACAGGGCTTCCAGTGATCTCCTCAGAGGTTGCTCGTATGCGCGTAACGATCCTTCGCTGCCATGCCATAGGGTTTGGTCGGTAACCTAGTTTCGGCTGGGTAAGACGAGACGGGCTGGTCGCGTCGCTAGTGTATTATACCTACATGGTACTATATCTAGAAGTAGCTTCTATGAGCCGCACCTCAGCAACCATTGCCCTTCATATATTTTCACATCAGGCTCGTTAGGCTCGGTTGTAAACTCCATGTTTTCGTGGATTGTAGCAATTGGGCATCTCTGCATCTCATCACATACACCGATACGTCACGACGTTGCCACGTTTCCCAACGATATAAGAATTGTGCAATATCGAGGCCGCACGCGACTGTATGCACCGCCCCATGAACTGTCATTATTGGGGGTCGTGCATGTAGAAAATCTCGAGCTATTGGAGTAGGAACTTTTCCAAAATGGGCTTACCCCTGCAATATCGGGGGTAGCATCAAGGCGTTGTGGCGGTAGCATTGTCAATTGCTGTCAGCTCACGAGTTTTGGAAATATCCCGATGCGTGCATATCACATCCAGCTGCATACCGGTAGCCCCAGACCTCGATCCTCATGAGAAAAACTACAGTCCCAGGCGCTGCAATCATGGTTCAGGTTAGAAGGTGGTCAGTGGCAGAGCCTCCCTCTCAGAACACGAAGAGCTCACTGCAAAAGTGATGGGAAAAGCTGCTAGATCTATTGAGGACCAATAGTCTGTCTATCTTAGATCGTTCGCTACCGTATTTCATCCCCACGTGGAATGGATCTGTGTATCGGTACCGTACTCAGTATAGTCCCAATGCTAGTATTTAATGTACATAGTAAGCCTACGGTTTAGGCTACATGGTTTGAAATATCACAGGCCATGAAATCACATGAGCGCAGATGGCTTTCACGGCTGATAGCGCCAGTCTTAGCTACATAGCCATACAACGAACGAGGAGCATTGTATGCCTACGTACCTAATCAACGATGAGCGAGCACACTGGACTCAGGACACAGAAGTGAGCATATTTGTATTGCTCAAAGATATTCCTGCCTCGAGACCCCCCACACAAGCCCGACAAGTTGGTAGTGTGTGTATTCCAGAGCATCACGTTTCATTGGTTCCGAGAGCTGCGCAAGCGGCTTGGTTAATCAAGCCATCTTCCACATGCGAATTTGTGATACATAGAGTGATGTTTAACGGTGTCCCGGCTACCCATCATGAATGAGGCTGCAGCCTGTAGCGATAGGCTGATCAATCATCTGCTTGACCAGAAGAATTCGATGCAATGTGGTTTTCAAAATTCAGGTATCTTTTCTAGGAGCTGAGGGTTGTTGGTGTCCGATTCTTAAATGCGGTGCTCGGCATCTTCCGTGCGTGATGAGAACCCCCTACATACTGTGCAGGCCATGGAAATCACTGCGAAGACCAGGTCTAACCAAAGCAGGTCTGGTTCTAGATCCACGAGCACAGTTAAGCACGCGCCACCTAGGCGGGACAGGGTCCAAAGCATCGCAAAGTATTTATTCCAGCATCTACGATTGAATTATCGACATTATCGACGAAAGAATAACTTGAGCAGAATGGTCTTAGGTGAAATATACCAAGCTTAAGTAATAGAGATTTCCAGTACATTTAACCCAGCTGTGAGTTGCATATACGAAGTAGTAACGTAAATTGACAATTAGACAGCTATAATAGTGTTATCATAAATGTAAGTAAACCTAACGATGTAATTGAGTATATGTTAATAGAGACCTCGCCTTCGTATTGATATTTTCTTGGGTTATGCAAATGGATCACGACGAGAATCGACTAGTCTGTTTCATTACCTTGTCACCATACAATATGACGGCTAATCTGAATTATCTGGATCAAAGCATATGGCACAACTAGAGCTATAACGTAGCAAAATGAAGCATGCAGTTACGTACCTACTCCCTGGCCCCTAATGGAAGAGCAGTTGTTCACTCGTCAATACAGTTCTTCTAGGATAAGATAATTATGCTTACCTATTATCTGCGTTGTGTTTCACAAGAATATCATGGTCAAGAACCTTGCTTCGTTCTATACTATCAAGTCGTTATATAGCACACAAGCCAGTTACTTGATGCAATTCAACCAGCTAGGTAGTCTTAATATTGAGCAGTTTAATTGCAGGATACATGGGAAACGCCGTTCACATGCCAAACTAGTGCACGACTTCCTTGACCATTCGTTATACCTAGGTTACGCAACTAACACTACAACATTCGCCCTGGTATCGCACCCATTGTTATCAGCGCCGGGGCTGGCATCAGTCTCCGCTGGATAAGCCCCCAGCTCTCTTTCTAGAATGATATGATGAATTCTCCGCGGAGATTGGTAAGCGTCGTGAATATTATCACGATCGGTGGGATCGTAACATAATTACCAGCGATATCTATCTGCAAAAATAAAAAATGAACCTTAGAGATCTTTCTGGCCAATGAGTTTGTTCAGGCTACAGGCTTAGTTATTCAAGGTAGGGTTTCATTTGGAGGCGTGTAGGACTTTGTCTGATGTAAGATTGCGAGCCTGTACTACGTAATTCGTGCTCCATGTACTGTAGTAGTTCGAGATGTTACCTTCCGTACAGTCTACACTCCCTATCACCACCAATAAAACTGTTATTCTATCATGAGGCGATATGAAATTGTCACGCACCCACCCGACCATTGGGCAAGAGATCTTGTCTCTTTTCTCACCATGGGAGAACATGTAAGTGATTCCCTGCTCCAGCTATCGTTGGGGGATTCTGTGTATCCTAGACAGTGAATTCTTTCATGATCTGCCCGAACAATCCCGAAGATCATGCATGCAAATAGGGATCAGCGAAGTATCCTACAATGCTACCTAAAATCAAATATTTACCTTGTTTGTCACATGCTTTATTATATCTGACCTTGCAGAAACGTGACTCCTCAATAACATGTATATTCAGGGATTATCGCGATAATAAGTGTCTTTCCCCATACCTAACACTCATGGCAATAAATTAAAACTGATCATCTGTGTCCCAGTTATAGAGACATAATCCGATTTACTGCGTTTTTTTTACTGCTGTATCCGCCCTGGGGCTCGCGTCACCCGAATCAATAGAAATTCTAGACTCATGTCCAAGTATACAATGGGGTTTCAGCTATGAGCACCAATATGCCCCCCAAAAGTGTCCATCTTCACTTTTTTCTATACTGCTGTGTTTTCATTTTGCCGATTATCTCCGGAGCGTAAAAGGCACCTAATACCAGCTTACCATCAAAGTAAGTATTACATCGTACCTTTGAATAACCGGAAAAAAAAGTATTCTGTAAATAGCATTCAATCTGTAAGATAGTTCATCAAGGCTTCTTGTGCAACAATAAGGGTCCTTTACATCCTCATACTTGAGATCGTAAAGCTATAAGCGAATCACCTGAGGTTGGTTTACCTCTTGGCTTATTCTACTCTCATTTTCTTGCACTGCAAACCGATGCCGTTAGACATGCGAAGTCTAACGGTTACTATAGTCTCCACCAGAGGGTGACATTTAGACCAGTCCTGTCAATTTGAAGTCTGAGCAAACTAAATATCACAATGCGGTGCTTAATGTTTAAATAGAAAACCAGGAGTTCGAGCCAACTCATCCCACGACTAAGAATCTCAGACCGGGCATCATCAGACTTTACGCATAGTGAGCGGAGGTCGTTCCTAGTTTTGAACTTGATAGAATACTTCAGTTGTTTATCTAAGTGTCTACCTTAGAATGATGGCTTCATCTATTTATAATCAGCATATGAGCTATGCTGCCCTAAATTAATGACTGTTGTTGGAGACCTGTTTCTGGTAGTGTAGAAAATACATACACAATGATGGATGGAGTACTCGTGTTTCCCCCCTCGGATCGTAGCTCGGCAACCAGGGTTTGCGAAATCGTGGATCAAATTTGTCACTCACTGGGTTGACTGTCTCATCAGCGTGGGCAGCTTCCAGATCATTTTTATAATCAGCAGTATCAGTATGGATAGCAACGATCACCGTGACATAGTGATAGGAAGTAGTGCTCTATCTACATAGGTAGAGAGGTTTAAAGCTTGGATTACTTTATCATTGCTTACAAGAATAGGAGCTTAATCTAAAACGAAGAAATAAAAGCGAAAGCTTAATTCAATAATTTAAACCTTTTCAGTGGCTTCAAACAATTTGGTATTATGACGGACTATTATAAAATATTAATCAAAGTAGAGTTATGGAGCGATATCCTACAAAAATCTCCGAATCGGGGAATCGAACCCCGAGCCTGGCGGTATTCTCTTTCTTCATGAAGAGGATGAAAACGCCAAATGTTAACCGTTACACCAATTCGGATGACAAATACAGCAGATTGAAGCTCAATACCAAGGTCTCCCTGGGAATCGAACCCAGATTGGTGGAATCAAAATCCACAGTGATAACCATTACACCAGGAAACCTGACCAGAGATGGTTGGGGTTTTCGGGATAAAATTGGGATACATATTGTGACCGTTTTCAGTTGGTAGGATGGCCGGACAAAGCAGGCGCCAAATAGCTACCTAGCTCCTCAGTAATTATGTCCACTCTGGACATGTTGCGTCAGCAGTTTGTCATTTACTTAGACGACCGATAAGGAATGGCAGCTCAGTCAATCGCATACATACGTATGTATTACCCTCAATGTGTTGGGCACCCGTGTGGTTCAGGTTCTTGGAGCATGCGTAGACCTCTGCATCCGACTCTCGATTGTTCAAGCCTGTCTTGCTTGGCATTATGCATGTCGGCATTTCTTGTGGTGACTGGGTGACTGGTCAGATGATACAAACTTGTAATTCCCTCACGAAGTTCCAATGACGATTTCGTTTAGGCAACTGTGTGCGAAGCCACTGCAGGTACGCAGTTAGCTGACTTCCTCATGCCCGAGGTTCTCTGGCATCATAAGTAGGATTGCTCTAATAATAGTGCGTGCAATGATGTAAGTTACCGCATAGGCGATTGCCGGTGATGCATCTTGAAATCCATTGGAAAAGTCGACTTAAGACACTTGCTGGTTTTTGTTACGCGGCTTGCAGTGGCTGAAGACCTGCATATCGTATTCCTGTTCAAGTCCTTCTGACTCTGCTGCATAAATTACCGAGCAACAGCATTTGTAAGTATTTGGGACTGGTTACTGTCCAAGAATCTTGCCTATGCTTTCGAAAATAACATGACAGACTTAATACTATTATATAGGAAATATCTCACTTTGATCAGACAGCCTGATCTCGATCAGAGAACGGATGAATTTTCAAATTGTATCTCAGCAACTCATTGCTTCGTTCACTGCATCGTTGACTCTACGATGGGCAATGTGTCACCATTGTCCAAAACATCGTACCAAGTACGGCTACAACGAGAAGGTTGTGCTAAATCATATCAATCCCTTGCGAGGTGTCTTTGTGTCTCTAAGGGCATCCTTTTCGACACCATTGGCATCAAAGTTGTTACTAGGTATTTGCTATCGTTTCGATATAGGACAGGGAATCAAATCCTCCGTGAGTGCGGGAATGTCTAAATGGGCGACAGTAGGAACGCTCTATTGGGAACTTCCCCTGGCCCATGTCGATAGTGGTGCTTCAGTATAACAAGGACTTAAGATCATGGCTCGTCATGGCTTGGAATCGAGGCCTATCACAATACTTAAAAACATTCTGCTAGGTCTGCTAAGATCCTTGGCCACCACGTATCTTCTTGGCTCTTGGTGGTTGACTTTGACTCTATACAACCGGTACGACCTTTGCTAACCTCCGTAGCCTGTGTGTCTTATTTTTTGATAAAACTTATAGATTCCAGTCGAAGCTTGCAAAAGTCTTGCAGCGTTGAATGATCAAATATGACCCTAACTATCTATAGTATCTGCATAATCATATCATTCTTCGTAAATCCGTACGATGCTGAGTATATACAATCTGAAATAATCTGCTAAATATACTCGTTGTCTCTACGACGTCAACGCCGAAACAGCAACAGAGGTTCTTATCAGATTTGAGAAGAGAAAGTCCTACTAGGCTGCCTCCTTAAGCAATCGGTTGTATCAAACGATTCGCTTTCCTCAACAGCGCTCGTCCAAACTATCCCCTTTGAAGCTGTGTGCCCTAAAGCCCACCAATCGACAATAACCATATGTCAGGTACCAAATTGGAAATAGATTTCTCGATGGTCGTAATCGATTTCAGGTGCTTGAAAATCGACATGATGATGCTCGTGACTTTTTAAACAAGTCCAGTAGTTCAAGCTTGCTGCTTGACTTGTATCATGTACATCTTGTGGATAAAAATCGGCGTTGAAGTGTCCCCCGTCAAGGGGTTGGTTATGAAAATAGTCCAGCGGCTCGGGAGAGAGGGCAGGTTGGTGAAAGCCCATTGGGCTTGAAATCGAAGTCAGATCTAAAGACATATTGGTTGTTTGACCATAGATTCCCACTGCTTCTGGCTGAGGGCTGCCCGTTACAAACCTCATGTCACTTATGCCGAAGTTTCCTGTAGGCCATGGAGCCGTTCTCTCGTCTCCAAGTGAAAGAGCATCGTATGTCAAAGGTGATGGCAGGTCTGACTGGTAGGGATGGGCCTCCTTATAGGGCGAGGCCGAAAATGCAGATGGTCCTCTAGATGGACCTGGGGAGCTGTCGATTGGCCATTCCGGGGATTCCACATCTTGCAACAGGGTATACCCTGGTGTATAGAGAGAGCCCGGTGGCGGCGACTGGGGACGAAACCATCCAACTCCAGTGGTTCCGTGGTAATGACCTGATTCGGAGGTCGAAGGGCTAGAGCTACTCGGCGTCATGGTCTTGAATTGATGCTCTTCTGGATAGAGACATGATAAGGATTTTACCGTACACCGTCGACAAGGCTCTCCTCGCGAGCATCGTTCTCGGGCCCTCGCGCATTCATGACACGCTCGTCTTCTGTGTGGGTTATCGTTTGATCGCTCGAGCGGCATATGAGTCGATACATGTCGACCTAAAATGTCACTTCATGATGTTGGTTAGTATCATCCTGGGAGTCGTTACAAAATTGCCGCATAAAGTTGATAAGGCTTACCTCCGTGCAAAACTCTTGTCGCACACTTGGCACATGAATCTCCTGGTTTCATCATGGCCACGCTGATGTCTCTTCAAGTTTTCGGGTCGCTTGAAGCTACTAGGACACTGAGGACACTTGTATTTCTTCTGAGCATGATCTTGGGCTGCGGGAACGCCCGTTTCCACGCCCTCTTCCTCGCCGCCAAGGTTTCTATGATCTAACATTTTCAGGTTACATGCATGGAGTGAAGCCAAGGTACGAAGCTGAGAGACTCCCTCTTATAAAGGCTGCGTGCGATATTTTCCATCTCTGGGCGTACCCTACTATCCAAATAGTCATGACATATACGTGGCTCTTTTGAGGTGGATATACAGATAGCCGTCTCGACTTCCTTATTGAAGTCTGTTTCTGACATCCCACATGCAATCTGCAGCTATCTCTCCTGTGACCATCATCACTGCCGCCTTTGGATTCGCTACCATAAGAAGCGCCCACTGATATGCATGAACAAGTATCGCTTGGCCATGTCAAGCGGACCGCTGGCTCGAACGCTTCAGCTCTCGGCCGTCTCGGTTAAGTATCGAGGGTCTTGGGCTTGGCCAGTACATGTGCGACTATAGATTCTTTCTTCATTGCTTAAATTGGATGCCGCGGCCCTACTTGGCTTACGGCGTGAAGATTACGTCTATCTCAGCCTGGGCACGACAGCCAAGATTGAAGCCCAGTAAGCTCGATAATCTCAATAAGACCGGGTCTTGGCGAGTTGGACGGACGGATGGTGATGAAGTAGGAGGTCTGCATCATGTTTAAGAGTCAAATATATGATTCGACCTGCCGAGCCAACTATTGCAAAAGAGCCTTTCTCTTATTGAGTTTCTCGGTCGAATTCATAGAAAAGCGGCAACGTAGCATCGGGTAGCGTGTCGGCACAGGGATCAATAGATCCATTACGGGCACCCGCATTTATACTGTAATAGATCCTCCCGACGATTTGCCAGGGATAAGCTGTGAACCAAGACCTGCTAGCTGGGATTTTGATAAAGTGCGACAGCGGGTGAGCTGCAGTGGCCATGCCACCGCATTAGTCAACGTTTAGCAAACCAACCCTCATGTGCCCCTTACCTCCGCGGTTGGCACGCAGGTAGTAGGGGATAAATGTCAGTTCCCTAGCCTCCTTGGGCGTCTCGGCCGCGACGGTGAAACCGGGCGCTTGACCCGGCTCCGTATGCGACCAATGGTTCATCTTGCGGGACCATCCGGTGGCACGGAGACCGATATAGTGCTCACCCATGTCGTCTATCGCGCGCTTCTGTTCGCTTACTGGGCTGTCAAGAGTTATGCCAACATTACGAAAGTGGTCCTGTTCCCACGGATTGTCGACATCCTCCACACAGTAGATCAACGGGCCCCGGGCTAGAGCCACCGTGTGCTGGTTCGTATAAGGGTGGGGCGAAATGTATCGAGGCTCAAAGCCGTGGATTCGTATACTGAAGGCCTTGTTAGCCGTTGTATATGATGGTGGCAGTGCCAAGTAGCCATGCTCGATAGTGGCTGATTTCAGCGTTGGGGTGAGCTAGAAGGCGAGTTAGTGTCTGTTCTATTGTAACCATACCATACCGGCCCTTTGCCTCATGGCAGGGTTAATGAAACGTACCGTGAACCTCCCGCTGGCCCAGGCAGGAATTCGAAGCCTAATCGTCGTGTTTGCAGATGGGGGCGCTTCGAGTTGAAACGTTATGTTCCCTTCCCATGGCCAGTCCGATCTCTGCTCAAAGACTATAGGGTGTTCTTCAACCTGGAATGAGACCTTCGCTGTAGTATAAAGATGTACATTCATAAAGATCTCTTGTCCATGGCCACCATAGTCCCAGAGATAGCCGCCAAGGCTGCCGAATAAGCGTGATACTGCGGAGATAAAACACGTCAGTATAGAAATCGAAGCTGAGCGGCATTGCACGTAGCAGTGTGCGCCCCTGGGAAAATGGGCTAGGAGATGAGATTTCATCAATCTTTCTAGCAAGATAGGAGAAACACTCTTAGTAAGCTAGAAAAATTCCCCTGCATACCATTCGGTGGACAGCAAGATGTGTCGAACCACTATCGGAGACCCATGTCAGCCTATCCATAATCAAGATTGTTCACGCAACGGTAACAGGATCTGAATGAAGGCTGAGGTTTATGGGGATTTGACTGACTGCGGCGCGGATACTTTTATCCTTCTCAGAACTTGCGAGTTGATTGACATAAGTGAAGGCGTTCCCCTAAATTTCAGCTCAGTTTAGCTGCTGCTCTCAGCTGCAGTTGCGCATATGGGATACTCACACCAAGGCTCACTTGGACGAACTAGGTCAGCCATGCATATCCCCAACAAGGAAAACAACAACCGATGGTCGAGAATGGGTTTGAACTCACTAGCAGTCATGACAGCATTGTAGAGACACAGCTCCATGACGTCGGCGTACTTGGAATTCAGCTCCACATGCAACAGTCGTTCCGCGAGCATCATGACCCCTATTGAGGCGCATGTCTCGTTATAGCAACCTCCCTCATCAGAGCCTTGAGGTAGAAAGTAATCGATGCCGAAACCTTCCCAGTGCAATATCGCACCAATACCCCCGGTCAGATACATCTTCTTATCCACCATATTGTTCCACAAGGTACGTATGGCTTCGAGATATTGCTGCTTGCCCGGGAACACCTTAATACCCAACTCGTCCAGGCTGACCAAGTTTGCTACTCCTGTCAGTAGATACAAGGCTCTCACTGCATGGCCTTCAATCGTTTTCTGCTGCAGGATTGGCTGGTGGGCCTGGCTATACCATAAACCAGGGTGCATGGGATAGCAGTCAGGACGTTTCCAGGGACTATCGCCCCTCTGCTCCCTCTCCCATTCGTAGTACGGCACTATATATTGAATAAGCCTAGTTACTCGGGAACAAGGCCATTGCCACGTTTCTCGAAAATGGAAGTGAGGTATTGCGATAACATACTGCCGTCTTGCCCCGTGGGGTTTCCGCGCTCCTCGATGAAGTACTGTGCCAAATCATACGCATCCTGGTTCCCCGTCACCGAGTAAAAGCGAACCAAGGCAAGTTCAATTTCCGGGTGTCCCGGGTAGCCATGCTTTTGCTCTTTACCAGGGCCGAAAACCTGCCGAATGTGCTTTATGTATTTATGGATAACTTCGATGAGCAGGTCATTTTTGTAATAGTTGCTGTGCGCCAGGGCCGCCTCCATGAGGTGTCCGGCGTTGTATCTGGAAACATTTAGCAGGTCAATTTTCTTCTATATAGCGCGCCGTCAATAGGCAACACTAACGGACAACTCACAGCTCATGTTGATCCCTCAAGTTCGTCCATCGCTTCCCCGGTTCGATTACGGTGAAGTAGACGTCGATATAGCCATCCTCCTGCTGCGCATTGCGGATCATCTGGACCAGCTCGCGGATGGCGGCATCGATTTCCACATCATACTGCTCCGTAAGCACATAACAGGCCCCCTCTATCCACTTGGCGACATCGCTGTCCCAGTAGACTGGCGGTGGCGAAGGCCAGCGCGACTTGTCGTCGTAGATGGGTTGCCACTTGAGATTGAAACACTCATACTGGCCCGTCTCCTTCAACTTCTTGAGCTGTGCCTTTACTGTCACCTGCTGGATGGTCTCACGGCGAGCCTGTAGTAGCGACGGCCCTGTGAAGGTGGTTTGCGGGAAGAGGACTTGAGGGTGCGACATGGTGGGCGGACACACCGACACAGACTTGGGCAATGCTTAGCAACACTTACGTAACAGAGTCGAAGCAATCAAGGGGCGCGCCAAATTGAGACGGGAAGCAGGGTGCAAGGAATTATACGAGTGCGTGTAAGCAGTGGTGGTTTCTCGATCTCCAAATAGAGTCTAGAGTGTACAAACCTAGAAGCGCTACATGTATGGCTCTCTGGATATAAAGCAGGGACTACGAACCGCCAGTCACACGATCACGCGCCATTGCAAGTCCGATATCGAAGCTGATACTAGCTGTCACGCAACGAAGACAACTTGTGTCGGCTTCTCCAGGCGCTGCTCGCGGAAACGTATCACCGTCTAATAGGCAGGCATTTGCGAAATGGAGCTAGGGGAACCTCAGCCGGCCGATTGCTGGGTAGGCCACTGAGTCTAGATCAGCGCTGCCGAACCGGCCATTGCGTACCAATGTTGTAGAGCAGAAATCGGCCCCGTGCAGGTCAACTTGAATCATGCATGCCTTCACCGCATGTGATGTGAGGAAATCCCTACCTAATGCCATGTAGGTCGGCATTGAGATGCCGTCAAACGGTCAACCAATGATGAAATACTTACAAGCGCTCCCAAAAAAAAGAGAAAAGTGCTGTTACTGCCGGTTACTAGGTTAGTTAGTAGGTCTGTAGTAGGTAAGAGCCCGGCCGGCATCTGGGGCTACAACATTAGGTTAGTTGGAAATCATCCTAGTGACCAAATCTGTGACGGGGGCAGCCGCCGTCAAAGCCTCGTTTTCCAGCTACAAACAAAAAAAACTACGTGTAGTACCCGAGATATGGGCTCATAAGTGCCTACCTGAGTACGTGCATTACATCAACAGATCAGATGACAGTCAAAAGTAGCGTAAGAAAGGGGCAAACCAGCCCTGTGTGACCAGACACGCACCAATTCTTTCGCGCTTTGGGATGGTCCCGATTGGCGAATCATTGGTGACATACTTTTCAGCCAGCATAGCACATTACACGAGTTACGGCCGAGTTCGCCATGGGCTTAAGCATATCATTGTTTTGCAGGGCGACGTCGGCTTCACGCTGGACGCACTGTGATTACCTCTTAACGCCTCGTGTGTATGCGGGCACTTCACGAGGAGTGTAGCCGCTCAGCAAGATTGTGTAGCAGTGTGCTAGGAAACGGCGATTGCAGACGTTTATTCTTTCCTTACAGATACCCGGAACAGCGATCAAGACCCTCCCCCTCTTCACTCACTTTTCTACATGGCTCGAACCGGAGCACTACACTGAGTCATATCAATTACACGCCTTCGTCCGCGCTCATGTACAGGCATCTCGTCGTACCGTGGCAGGGGCACTGACAACCGGTCAAGGCCATCAAATTTCATCCTCGAGAAACTTGTAATGAAACTTGAAGTCGGCTTTCCTTCGGTTCATCCTGCGCAGTGGCCGATTAGTCGACAGGAGAAGTAATTTATCGTGTCAGGGAAGCTTACCACGTGGACTCGTAATCGAAGAACCGGTAAGTCCCCTGCTCAAACTCCTCTGTAATATTCTTGGGTTCTTCATGCCTTTGGAACCATGTCTGATATTGCTTGTGAAAACGCCAGCTCTGGTCTTTTAGAGCTTTGGCTGCCATGTACTGTTGGTAGGAGTTCTGCTTGTAGTAAAAGACGTAGAAGAGTGTGTCAGGCTCGATGCGCGAGTACAGGCGAGGATCATCAAAGATCGCCAGGGGTTCCTGCGGATACCCAGATGGAGAGTGATACCGCAATTCCGGCCTATATGGCCTTGGGGGTTCGGCATCCGACGTATCCATCATGCTCATGTTGAGTTGTGACGCCGCCATCATGCGCAAGGTCGACGGCGTATTTACTGGCGCAGTCCGCCTCTTCTTGACCGTTTCATAAGACTCGACTAGGTCGTGCAATGCCGCAGGGAGGTGGAATATCGATTCTTCCTCCTTGTCTTCTGGCTTTGGCTTGACGCCGTTGGCCGGTCCATTGGAATGAGATTCTAATCGTACACGTTAATGAGAGAAGCGGAAGATTTATCACTGGAATGCTTATACCCTTTGCGGACTCCCCTGACTCTAGGGCGCCAGAGGCCTTGCTTGAAGCTCTAGAAGCTTTCTCCGCTTTCTTGAATGTATTTGATATACTTGGAGCATGCTCTGAAGGCTTGGGCTCAGGGACGGGGAGGCTTCCTGTTCTCGGCTCTGAGGAGGCGGGTTGCACATTTATTATACTTGGGGAATTTGCAGCACTTGTTCTCAAAGGCGCAGATGGTGGTAGTGGCGAAATTCCCACAGAAGACGCTACTGGTTGAGACCCTGGCGGTGGTGGCAGCGGTGCTATACCGACGTTGTTCTTGTCGCTTGCCGCTGCTGCTGCTGCCGCCGAGGCGTACTTGAGGCCCTCACCAGGAGGGCGTTGGGGCAGCGAGGCTGGCTTCATGCTAGAGGTTGACGACGCGCTACCATTATTTACGTTGACTAGGGGGTTATGTAAAGTCGCTAATGTCGGCAGCGGGGATTTCATTTGCGTAGAAGGTCTTCGGGCAGCATTGGGGTCGATTGCAGCGGCTCTCGACTTAGCAGGTAGGTTAGTGGTGCGTGATTCCGAGTCTGCTGCCTCTTCTTGTACTGATTGCGTATCTTGTGAGGATACACGGTCGTTATCTTGGTTCATGCCGTACGTATCTTCCTCTTCTTCCAGAGCTAGCTCATCGTAAAGGCCTTCATCCTCAACGAAATCGTCATTCATGCCATCTGTGACGTAGTAACGGATACTCTCTTCCATATCCGTAACTTGTTCTGTTTCAATGCCGCCGTTCTCCAGTGACCGCCTAATCAGCTCAAGTTTTCCCTGGTGCCATTTATGTCGCTCGATCGTATTCTCTATTGTCGCGATGCGGCCGGCTTTGGCCGCTTGGCTCTTGCCCTTCTTCATCGTCACTTGCAACTGTTCGCTTTCGGCCTCGAGTGTCTCGATCTGCTGTTCAAGTTCGTCTACCATGTTGCTGAGAAATTCCCCAGCTTCGGCCTTTGCTTGTTCTTTAGGATCGAGTTTGGCAGCAGCTGAAAGGCCTTCTTTCGAGTAAGCCTTGGTCTTCATAGCCTTCTCAACAGCCTTGAACCTTTCCATTTGCTAGCAAAGAGTCAGTGTACACATTCCAACCAGGGTTCATGGTCCCCCGCAAAGACACCGACCGTTTCTATCAGCCTCCGGTGCTCCAGCAACGGGGCCTTGTCCTTGATGTCATTACTAGCAGCCCATGTCTTGATCTGGTCTCGTAATCTCTGGAGCTTCTTGATCTCGCGCTTGAGGTTATCCTCGAGCTTCTCTTTCTGAGCGGGGTTATTGGACTGCTCGATCTTCTCGTAAATACCGTCGAATTCGGCGACACCTTCGGCGACCTTCTTGAAGGTCTTGTCTATCTCCTGCTGCAATTTTCGGGCTGCCATCTTGTATTATGTACATGTGACGAAAGTCCTCTGGAGATCAACAGCGACAGTGGTGTGTTCGGCAGTGGTAAGACGTCTCGGAGAGATCGGCCTGTGGCAGACGAAGCAAGGTCGGCAATGCCGGGCCAAAGGTCGTGGAGAGGGCAGGTCAGGTCGTCGCGCAGGTCGGAGCCTGTGAGGAGGGTATGCTGAAGGGCAAGGTCAGAAGGCAATAGACAGGCGCAGAGCTCGAATAGGCCGAATTGGACGAGGAAGCTGATAGACTAAGACGATGCAGCACACTAATGTGGTTATTATTGACTTACCGTTTGTTCTTCAAACGAGAAAAATGTAGACGTCTAGGCAGAATATTGCTGTTTGCGTGTGTTACCAAAGCCTGCCTACACATACTATTGAATAGGTAGGTAAGTAGGAATGCATTTGATAGGGTGGTGGTGGTGGTTGTGGTTGTTGGCGGGAAGGCTGAATCGCGCGTTTACACCTGAGCATTACCGTTAGGTACTACCTACCTACCTAGGTACCTAACGTACTGCATGTATATAGGTATCATAGGTAGCTGCTTAGTGGCTTAGCGTAGTGGACAGTAGGTACCTACAGTAAGGCCATACCTGCTACATGCAGCCTACCTACCTAGGTACTGTACCTACTTACCTTAGGTACCTTCTTAGGAGGTCAGTAGGTAACATGGCACATGCCAAGCAAGCCTTACTTCCGGTGCCCTGCTCAAGTATCCGATGTGAAACATATGCGTCTTCTCGCTGTTTTTATGGCATATATATCTGACTCATATATTTCCAACGCTGAGTAGGAATATCTATCTGTATCCCATACATCTCGATGAGGTAATAGATGATGTATAAATCAAGAGGTAGACTGCCTCTGGAGTTAATGTGGGTAACACGGAATACCTACCTACCTAGGTAGACATACCCAATGAAACACTTCTGGGAAGGAGGAGCACATTATAGGTTGTACCTTTCATTCGATTACATCCAATATTGAAGATATTCAACAAGCTTATCGGAGTCAGAATAATGTCACAGGAATAGGGCTAGGTGAAACTTGTAAATAAGTCTACAATATTCACATATTCAAACTACCATTTATAGGAGGGTACCGCCTCGGCCAAGGAGCTAGATCTGAGCCTGCCAGATGTCTACAGTTGCACTAGACTAGGTAGTACTAATAATTCATGAACTCTCAAGCTTCCCTCTTACGCCCAAAGGCTGTTATTCCCTCTTGTCTTAATAACAGTGTCGATAATACCTAGTTAATTCATCTAAAATGAAAGGTACGTTTTCTCTATAAAATCCCGCTTTTTTTTTTTTTTTCCTCGAAGGGAAAGGGCGAGAGAGGAAAAAAGGTCATTCTACTCACGCGCCCATCCTTTGTAGCGATATTACAACGTGTACTGTCGGCTTCCGTCACAGTGGAGAAGGAGGTCGTCTCGTCGATAGGGAAGGGTGTTCTTGTCTTCGCTGCGGTAGCACCTGGAGACACCCAGAAGGAGGCAGACTCGTTAGCTGCCAAGGTGCTGAAAATGAAACTATGGGATGACGAGGAGACCGGGGCAAAAGTATGGTTACGACGATCTCTTCCTTGCATCATCAACGGCCGGCCACAAGAGCGATCAGTAAATCATGTGCCTCGCTTTCATGTCTAACCTATCTCGTTTCTCAGTGGAAGAACAGCGTCCAAGAAATTGATGGAGAGGTTCTCTGTGGTAGGTTCCTCACTTCCCACCCTACTTTTCATGTTCGTGTCCCTGGTCACGGCTTATCTGATGGCACGACTTCAGTGTCTCAGTTTACCCTTCTCGCTTCGACGAAGAAGGGTAATAAGCCCGATTTTCATGGCGCTGCCGGCGGCGAAGAAGCTAGGAATCTATATCATTATTTCTTTGAGAAAATACGACAAGGTTACGCGCCTGATAAGGTAAAAAATGGAGTGTTTCAAGCTATGATGGAAGTCGCCCTTGTTAACGATGGGCCTGTAAGTAACTCCCCGCTGTCAAAGCGGTGAATCTCTGCTAACGGTTTCAAGGTCACATTGGAAATATCAGCCTCGCCAAAGGCCGATCCAAAGGTCGACAGGAAGGCTGCGCCAAACCCCTCGCCAGTATCCGCACCGCCCCAATAGACTTATATCGGTGAATATATCGAGGCTGCATAGTCACGAGACAAGCTTCCAGCTGAACTTATGATACTGTGCCCTTTCCAGCCAAACACATAGAATGCGATGACAGGATACCACTAGACACATAGACACATAGAAGCATAGAATATGTCTAGATGACCGAAATAGATCGCATAGACTTTCATATACAAAATTCTTCCCAGTCTCTCTCAATTCAATCGTTCAAAAATCTCGTCTAGCGGTCGACATTACATTTAGTTCATCAGTTAAATAACTGAGAGGGGTATATTTCCAACATTCATCATGAAACTTCGAAACCAGTCCTGTCAAATAAATCACACACACAAAAGCACCCTTGGAACGCCTAAAATGAAAGGCGAAATCAACCGAAAGGTTACTTGAACCGTCGTTTAAGCTTTAGTTTGCGACTCTTCGCAGCACTTTCTGCCTTCCATACTCCCGCGAAAAGGTCGTCGCATTCATCTTCATCACTCGAGTCAAACGCGACAAGCTCCTCATCGTCACCGTCCCGAGTGGTCTTGTTCTCGAACTCGAGCTCGGGAATGTCGCTGACCATGGCGTCTTCCCAGCTTGCATAGGTCACGGTCCTCCGAGTCTCAAGGATGAACTTGCCAATCTTGTATTTCTGAGACTCCGCCCTCGCATCAACGTACTTCCAGCCGATCTTGGCACGGCATATGGCGCATTGGATGTCGGAAACGACATGTGTCCCCGTGCTTAAGATGCGCGGCTCTGGCTTGCCGATTTTGATGTTCATCAAGCTGGATTCAGCCTCCTGCGAAGGGTCGTCCGGGGGCGATACCAGATATGCGCGACCATAGCGGCCGGTAAAACCTTTACTCACGACCTGGGAATAGAATGCGAAGTCACTTCCACATGTGGAGCACCGGATAGTGTCGGGTCGAGTCCTAGTGAGTTTGGGCGCATCATGCCGTTCGGCGGAGAGCCGACGAAGACCGTCTCTCACGCGGGAGAACGAGAGGGGGGAGCCATGCACAGGGCTCGACAGCTCCGAGTCTGTGGGGGAGTTTCGCAAGGACGGGACATCACTGTGGGCAAGAATAGAGGTTGGAGAGGTAGGAGAAGTAGGAGAGGCATTACTGTCTGTATTGGACGAGATGTGGCGATGTCGGCGGAAGGGCCGCGACAAGCTTGGCAGCAAGTAAGTCGGGAACGACGGCGGGGGGGCTACAGCGCCCTCGGGCGGGCGAGGTGGAGGAGGAGGAGCCACATCGTTTAGTATGGGTATCATGGACAACATTGCCGCAACTACTTGATCAAGTGGAGAATAGGTGCAAGTTTCTTTATTAGATTTCACGACAGATGATGATGCATGGACGCACATGCACTGTAGGTAGAGAGGAAACAAAAAGGAAAAAGTAAATGTCATTACTGAGCGAGTTTATAGCACCTACATAGGTAGCTATGGAATGTGTCAACCCCGCATCGACCAATATCCGCATCTGATACGAGGTACCTATGTAGGTATCTCTGATGGATGTGCTGGCTGAATGAAGCACAGCTTACCCTACCCAGCAATCGGATGTGCCCGCCCAAGTATCGAGTACTCTACGAGGCTATAAGGAGCAAGAAACAGTCATGTGTTTTGCTTTGCTGGATCATTACCGTCATTTTGGGGGCCTTACCAAGTCAAATGACAGGCTCTGATGACCGCCGTACTTACTTAAACTGGAGGAGGTATGGAAGTAGGTACGCCCATTTAGGTACCGCATACCTACCTACCTATAAGCACCCGTCAAGCCACATCACGACACCGCACCGCAGCCACTTCATCGCCATGGAATCCGCTTGTTGATCTGATATGAGGCTTGACCCGAACACTTCCACCTATAAAATAAGTGTTAGTAGGTAATGTGCCCAAACCTTTCCCGATTTACTTGGACTTTGCCCCGAAGACAGCTCTACACCTGGGCAAGTGATCAAGTATGGATTCTATTTCTCGCTAAGCAAGTCAGCTTCACATAATCTCGACTGCTGAGCCTAACGATGCCTTAGGTATATAAAGGTATGACATGTTAATTGGTGTTTAGTAGTAGCTACACGCGTAACTCGGACTAGTGAAACTTCAAAGTTCTAGGCACGCCTTGGGATACCCTAGATGTCTCTCGAAAAACGGCGGGCAGACATATATCCCTAGCACTGCCACCAGCAGTAAAGGCGGGAGAAGAACAGGGGATGTCTCAAAGCTGCTGCAACTCTCGGCATAGGTGCAGACAACACGCAAGCTAGGCAGGGAATACAGCATTACTGAGACCAATCACTCTTTCGCGGTGTCCCGAAAGCATGCGGATATCCGAAAAAAATGGTTGCCGACAACAGGTTTTGTACAGCAAAACATCGGAGGATCCTCGTATTCTCATGTGAGAACGATGTATAACCGACTACTAGCAATTCTACGAGAGAAGGCTGGCCACATCGGTAGTTTACATTATTACGAGGCTTTTGCGACTAAATTGTATGTTTTTTCGTTGCGTTCATGTATGCGGAGGCTGGATTTTATTTTCAGGAAACTGAAGATGATAGGCGAATACACGTGTTCGCAAAATAATTCTCTATGGTGTTTCTTTGAGTCATGCTGTATTCTGAAAACTGCGGTGAGATGAGGGCAAGATCATTTCTCTTGCAGGACTATCTGCGCCTCACGTTAGAATTAGATTACAGACGCTGTCGTCTCTTACTGAAATCTCGAAGTAAAGGGTACATTAGCTCCTCAAACCCAAACTCCAAGTGTCTTTCTTTATACTAGCAATGTGCCTTTTGATGTTCGCTTATAAGTTGCTTATGTCACTCGAGCCTTCGTCTCTCTGTGCAAGTATCAAATATGGCCGGTGTGAAGCCCAGCCCGCGAGCTTCACTCCATATCTTTGAAGACAGAAGCCTCTCCGGAGGAACAAGCCTTATACACCTCTTTTGATTTATGGATTCCCATGATACAGACACACAAAGTGATGTCGTACCAGTGCTTTGAATTTCCCAGTCAGACAACAGACGAGGGGACACAGACCTGTCGCCTCAGCGTTTTTATATATAGACCTACTCTTTCCAAGACATTTCAATGTAGAAATTAGTGAGGCATCAAGGCAGGGCCAAAGAAGCTATATAAGTACAGTTTACCTACGCTATTCCAATCTATTTGCATAAGATGAGAAGTATATTGTTAAATTTTTGCTCTGTGATAAATATACGGTGTATGGTGTTTGCGGATGAAGACGCTATATAACAACTCGCTATTCTTAATTTTGGATATTTAAGCAACTGTATATGTTGCAGAAGAAACCTCCGCAACAGGCGAGTCATCGAATCAGCAGAAACTGTCTACTATAAATATTCTGATGCCTGGTCTTTGATTACGAATAACAAATGACCTTGGGATAGCAAGCAATAGAAGCAGCCTTTACTCTGTCAAAAATATATATATTACTATTTTGCCGAGGTATAGTGGATAGTGCCGCCCAACGAGTGATGTCAAAACATCATGACCACTTGATACACAACACACAAAAATGCAATAGAGGAAACGAGAAGTATATTCAATCTGCTTAGCTATACATTTAAGAAACTAGTTTTGTTCCTAGCTTACGACACCAAGTCATGGTTATGCAGAGCCCTTCGATTTTGTAGGCAATAAAATCACACGTTATCATTGGTTGGCAATATAGCCTTCATTTATCCAGACAAGCGAGCCGCATTTCCGGTCAGGTAGATTTAACTCAATTTGGCATGAGAATAGCTTTCATATCCTATTCAGGCTTATTCACGGAAGAGGATTATTGCCCGTGGCGGCTCACGACCTGCTGTAGCCTCTCGAATGATAATGACTTAGTATATTATAGGCATGGATATTGATACAAGTGGCTACGCTCAATATTGTTCACGCAAGGGATACATTTGTATATATAATGAATCACCGTGGGGGTCGTTATTTTCCGCATGAAGATTCATTCCATTCTCGCTGCAGGATTACATCTTACCTAGTAGCTGAAGGTTGGCGTGATTGACATTGACGCCAACCCAGCATCAGCCTATGCATCAGCAGAAGAATCAGGATGAAGGCGGCTTATCTTCTCATGCTAGGCGATGCCTGGGGAACCGCCATGGCGTCTCTTCAGAACAGTTTCGGCGGCCTCAGGCAACATGCTGACCTGCTATTGGAATGGGAACCCGCGGGTGCAACGGATTATCCCCTCGTCCTCCATGTGCGAGTCTTCAACGCGACGAGTGACCATACAGTGAACACATTCGAGACAGATATTGCGAGTGAGTCAAATATTTCCAAATAGGCCGCCCTAGTGTCATTGACAACGGCGCAGCTGGACTGTATAGGGACTCTTTCATGTGGAATGACTTACCCTCGCCTCTCCCGTTTCTTCCCTCTGCGACGTACCAACTTCAAATTGGACGTCAGCTACCGGCAGGGGATATAATGTCGGACTTCGTGATAACCTCGTCCAGCCCTTTCAGCATATTACCGGAAAGTGAGGACGAAAACGACGACAGCAGAGTCTGGCCAACTGTATGAATGTCCAGATATACCGCAGTATGTTCACGATTAGTACTTGTTGAGCTGACGAAAAGCCGATATAGACAACCGGCGCCTCGGAGTCGGCGAATTCAGAGACCAGTCAGCACCCGGATAGTAGTACGGCTATCGCCGCGGGCCTAGTTGTGCCTTTTGTAGTCGGAATCTCTGTCTTCGTCTTTATATGCATGCAACGACGGCGTAAGAGAACCCTTGAAGAGCGCCGGAAGGAAAGACAAACATTAGTGATCGATTAATCGACTGTCATTGCCAGAATCCCTAGAGCCTTGCTGATGTTGGCTGATCTTAATCGCGGTAGCCGATAACTTATCGTCTGATACCGAAGTGAATACATACAAACCCTGGTGCTTTTGAGCGCGCTCTGTATTCCAATGTACTGCAGGTACAGTCTTATGATAGTGCCGTCGTTGACGGATCAAGTTCCGCAGGGTACTTGATACCTAGGTGATTAGGAAGATGTGACACATGCGAGTACGAAGAGAACCCCCGCCCAATCATACAGAGAACAACTCAGAACCGCCATTGAGTTGATTGATGGGAGGAACGAGGCGTATGAACGATGTCGTGATGCTTCTTAGCAAGAAGCTTCGGTCCTCAGTCGGCGCAAAGTGTAACAGGCAGCAGCGCCGCAAGCACTGTACCGTGGATTTCATCATGATCGTCGGAGTGCAAGGGATCTAAGGCCAGTCGCACGAGATCGTGTCAAAGAAGATGTAGTTACGTCATGAAGAACATCATGGCTCTGATAACTTACAAGTGGATCGAGGGGGGAAAAAAAGGGAAAAAAAAATAATAATAAACCGCCTAGGTAGAGGATCTAGGTATTCTTTATCTATTCCAAACGTCGAGCAGCCACTTGGGAAAGACAACCAACAAACACCAACGGCGGGCCACATGGATCGGCTGTCGGATGTTGAGTGGTATCGGTCGATCGGCCGGCTTTTCTTCATCCTCCCCAATAAAATCAATAATGCACATGGCGAACTGGGTCCTCGTATCCTACTCTCTCTCCACATCGCTATGCAGCTTGACTCCGATAGAACTCACGCCGCTACCATGCATTTTGCTCCGTTACGGGATGTAATCATGTATTCCAAGGGGAATTTTCCAGGCTATTTCGACGCTACGTGCAGCTCTAGCTTCGAGCTATCATCTACGCGATACCGAACGCGTCGGGTTGGGCCAAACGTGTAAACAACGGCCCTCATGTAAGCCGCATCTAAGTACAAGCAATCCGTTCTTTCGGCAGCGCGACGTAAAAACCTGTTTGAGAGACCCGGATACAGCTTGCCAGGCGCCCACACATTTTTTCTTTCTAGCTTCTCTGGTGCTCTACTTATGGCCTGATAGTTCCGGTCGAATTTGCCGGAACGAACAGCACTCTACACTAGCTGCGCCGGTTCCCGACTTAGAGTTATAGTGCAGGAGGAAGCATGTTATATACGAGTCGCTTTCGGATGCGTCGGTGGTTATGCTTACTTTCATCAGAGCCATACCATGCATATGGACCATAGTAGTATATATCTTGCAGTGGCATGGAACAATGGTGGTTTCTATGTGTACATGTAATAATATCTTGACTGGTAGCCATATCATTATATATAACGAGAGTAGAATTATCTCATAGCTGAGAAGTAGAAAATAGAAATAGTGTGGATAAAGGACCTGTGCTCAATGCTGTGTTGGTTCGTTTAACTAACATCACCGCCCTGTCCATGGTCCCGGTTCAGCTTGTGGATGCTGCTGGACGGGTTCGATATGTAATAATAGATATGGTAAGTGTTGGCGAAGATACCCCTGCTCCAGAGGCTGGCTATTACTTCAACGGTTCATGTTTAGCGAAGGGTAGACAACCTTGCCCAGCATCATCACCATGTACTATAAGTGCTCAGCCCTACACCCATCCGTGTCTCATCTTTTCGGGACGATCTAGACGGTGACACTAGGTATTGCGTGTGGTGTAATAGCGGCATTACCCATGGGGCTACCATGCGGCCGCAGTCAAGGCAACATAGCTAAATGGCTGATCTTTTTTTTCTGGGTTGGCGCTGTCTCTTCCCAAAAGTCTTCGTAATCTGGGACAGACAACCGGTATGATGTGCGCGTCTGTAGTGTACGCCATAAATGCTCGAAAGGTGTAGAAGCGGCGGGGCTGACGTTGACCCTTCTCGGTATTTCTAGGACTTACCAGGATGCTGGAAACGACGGGCCTGGACTCGCGCATTGTCAACTTCATTTCGTACAAGCTACCAACTGCATATAACAATACCGTGTGTTCGTTGCATTCGCCTACACGACGAGGTCAAATTCGATATTGGGATGCGGTCAGCAAGGGTATTAGCGGTCAACAAAATTTCGTCGAAGTGTTACATGCACGGAGAGAGGACTGTATGAGTCAAAGACACCACGCAGAGTCCGTCTGAGCTTTAGATTCTTCCCTAGGCTACACTACACTCGGGTGGGTAGCCTTCAGCTCGGGCCTGTAGCATGTATCGTGCAAACGATCGAAGCCATCTGAGGGGCCACGCTACGCTACGCTACACTATCTCATGCCATACCCATGAATAGCTAGAACAGACACAAAAGGACGGGCTGTTATGAGATCAACACTGTCCTGGTCCGCTCGCCTTGCCCGATATTCTTTCCGATCATTGCCATTTTAGGTATATACATGTCATTGTCGTCTGGAATTAATGCATAAATACGACCCGGATACTTACACACGTATATGAAAGATAGTGGAGGTAGTCTAAGTACATGTGAAGCCCAAGGTCCGGCTTAATGAAATTTGACGATCCACACGCGCAGCTTTGAGGAGGAGAAGACCATGTGCGCGGGTGCTAAGCCACCACAGCATGAGGACATACCTATTTACTATGTACATGTACAGAGTAATTACACTGCTAAGTACTACCTATGTAAATATCTCGTACCTATCTTTGAAGATAAGGATTGAGAGGATCTTTGCTGTCCAGGCCACTGGTGCCAAGGTTACACTAATAGAAGAGCTGGCTATTGGGGTTGTAGCTAGTGTAATTAGGGCTCCAACCTGTAGAAAATAGTGAGGTGTAGAGATCGAGGGGGAAATACATATTAGTAGTAGTGTGTGTGTGTGTTTTCTCTATTTTTTGACCGCTGCATCTTTTGTGTGATGAAAGCACACCCATGTAAGGATCTGTCGTGGCGTAATGGCGTCAGTTCCGAAATGAACAAGCTGACTCCGAGTGTAAGCTGGCTGGCTCACCTAGCCAGGGCAGACCAGGGGCACCAGGCCATTCCAGATGTACCTGCATTAGTGTTGGGATTAGTGCAGGTACAGGCTTCATACAGTAGGAGTAAGTACCTGTAGCCAGAGCTGTAGCACAACCAGACACACCCTAACTGGTGGGAATACTTGCACTACACGGCACTACACAGCACTAACTGCATATCTTAGTCCTCACCTGAGCTCTAGTAGCTTCAGAACTAGGTATGAGAGGTGATTTGACGGGATTGCCTCTTGTCCGAGTTGGTATCTATCGTCTTGAGGGGAATTCTCTCTCTCTCTCTCACCCTTCCACACCCTCTCTCGCCTCTCTCACTTTCTACATGTATTATTCCTGTTCCTTGTGTATGTATGTATACAGTACGTATACGTGTAGCTGGCGATCATCGTCTCCTGTGTACTATACATGTACACGTAATCCAATTTATACGCTGTATAATGCGATTAGAAATCTTCGAGAACATGGGTCTTGGCCTTGACATGTCTATTATTAGGGTAAATGCATACCTACTTTGTGGCTGGAGTAGGTATGTCGATAGGACAGCATGGAGCATGTGTACTTAGGAATTGCCGTGAAACTGTCGAGACTGTTCCCGAAAAGTATTCTCGCTGAGCTCACCTGCTGCACGTCAGCATGGAGCAGGGCAGAAGCCGGGCAGAAGCAGGGCTTTTTGGAAAAACCCTTTGTCAACGTCTGGCAGATCACTTCCTAGGACAACACTAGGGTACCTGCTCATCTCCTGCGCCCCCTTCCCACCGAAATCTCTTGCTATGTACATACCTGGTTGGGTGTCTCGGGTGTCTGTCTCGTCTGTCTTCTTCTCGACCGGGGGTTAGCCTCTACCATGAGTCCATGACGATGGACCTGCCAAGATGGTGCCATTGCTGGATACCGTAAACAAAGGGCCCGACGTTATCTCCATTGAGTCAAGCTGCTGCAGACTGCTGGAAATCCCCACCCCTGCTGGATGCCTTGCTCCCAGCTGCAGCTAGCCAGCTAGCCGGCTAGGGTGGTGGAATCAAAATGGGGCATCACGAAGCTTCGACCCAATTGTCGAGCAGCTGGCCAGCCTCGTAATATCAGCCTATGCGCGAGAACGCCGTGGCAGTAGCAGGACTTTAGGGCTCTGTAGTCGAGTGGGCATTGGTGTGCATTAGCACCGATGTAGGATGGTGAGTGTGAAAGTGGATAGTCAGAGGCTGCCAGAGCAGTACCAGAGGATGGGGGGACCTCGTGGAGCTGCTCACCACACTAATATCGATAAAAAGGAGGTATTGGTATTTAATAGGGCGACCACCCTCCCTCCATGAGGCTCGTATCGGAACTTTTCCCTCTACGCTGTTCCAATCGTCCCAGGTCAAGCCCGAGCGAGAGACACTTGCTCATCCGGCGTATTTCACGTCATCCACTCTTTAAAGAAACAACAGTCACTCGTTAGACCAACAGTAAACTAATAACTTAATTACAACAAGCAATGGCTCCCTCACTTAAGCAGACCGTCGGCGCTGCCGCGGCCCTCTTCGCTGCCTCTGCTTCGGCCTCCGGTCCCCTGGCCAAGCGATACCGCAACCCTGGTGCCAACAACTACCCGATCTACGGCTACCCGCAAGTTGGTGACTACTATCCGGGCGACGGCTACCCCGTTGACAACTACCCGGTTCAGAGCCCAAGCCCCAGCCCCAGCCCGAGCTCAACCCCGAGCCCAAGCTCAACTCCGGCTCCCAGCTCTACTCCCACCCCGAGCCCTTCCAGCCCAGCTGGCACTTACAGCAGCACTCCTGCCGGTACTTACAGCAGCTCTGTCCCTGCTGGCACGCCCAGCAGCTCCGTTCCCGCTGGTACATACAGCAGCTCCGTTCCTGCTGGGACCTATAGCAGCACTCCTGCCGGTAGCTACTCTAGCACTCCCGCTGGCTCTTACAGCAGCACTCCCGCTGGCTCTTACAGCAGCACTCCCGCTGGTTCCTACAGCAGCACTCCCGCTGGCTCTTACAGCAGCTCCGTCCCTGCTGGCTCTTATAGCAGCACTCCCGCTGGCAGCTACTCCAGCACCCCTGCCGGCAGCAGCACTCCCGGTGCAAGCGGCACTCCCGGCCCCAGCAGCAGCGTTCCTGGCGGTGGCTACCCTATTGGAAGCTACCCAGTGCCCAGCGGTAGCAGCACCCCTGGTGCTAGCGGTACTCCCGGTCCTAGCAGCAGCATTCCGGGTGGCAGCTACTCCAGTACTCCCGCCGGCAGCAGCAGCACTCCTGCTGGTAGCTACTCCAGCACCCCCGGTGCTAGCGGTACTCCTGGCCCGAGCAGCAGCGTTCCTGGCGGCAGCTATTCCAGCACTCCCGCTGGTAGCAGCACCCCCGGTGCTAGTGGTACCCCTGGTCCTAGCAGCAGCGTTCCTGGCGGTGGTTACCCTACTGGCTACCCCAGCTACTCTGCCAGCGTCCCCGGTGGCAGCAGCAGCAGCAGCAGCCCTGGTTCCAGCAGCACTCCCGGTGCTGGCAGCAGCGGTGTCTACCCTACCTCGAGCTACCCCGGCGCTTCCGGCAGCAGCAGCGCTCCTGGAGGTGCTTACCCTACCGGATCAAGCTACCCCGGTGGTGACAACGGCGCTAGCTCTACTCCTGGCTCCGGTGCTTACCCTACTGGCTCCGGCTACCCTGGCGGCGACAATGGCGCTTCTTCCACTCCTGGTGCTGGCTCTGGTGGTTACCCCACTGGCTCTGGCTACCCCGGTGGTGACAACGGTGCTTCTTCCACCGGCGCTACTGGTGGCTACCCTACCGGTGGTGACAACGGCAGTGATAACGGTGCTTACCCTACTGGCACCGGTTATCCCGGCGGTGACAGCGAGGGTAGCTACCCTGCTACCACCTACCCGGTCTCGTACACCACTTCGACCATCTACTCGACCACTTGCATCGAGACTGCTCCTGGCCAGACCACCACTGTTTACATTCCCATAACCACCACTGTCTGCCCTGTCACCCCGACTGAGACCTACCCCGCCGGTGGCTACCCCACTGGTTCGTACCCCGGTGGTGGTGAGGATGAGTCCACCACTACTACCACCTCCACCCGGTATGTGGCCACGACCGTCTACGTCTCCGAGACCTCTCCCGCTGGTGGTGAGTACCCCACCGAGACCTACCCTGCCGGTGGCAACAGCCCCTCTGAGACTTACCCGGCTGGCGGTGAGTATCCTTCAGAGACCTACCCGGCTGGTGGTGACTCTCCCTCGGAGACTTACCCCGCTGGTGGTAACTACCCCTCTGAGACGTACCCTGTCGGTGGTGCTTCCCCCAGCAGCAGCAACACCGAGGTCTACGTCACCGCTACCGTCGTTCCTGTCACCGACTACCCCACTGAGTCTACTGCTCCTGCTGGTGGCTACCCTGTCACCACCTCGACCCTCAGCACCTCCGTCTACCCCGGCACATCATCGACATACCCAAGCGGCACTCCCATCGCCACTGCTGGTGCTATGAAGGCTGGCGTCAGCTTCGTCGCTGTGGCCGCCGCCGCCCTCATGGCTTTCGCTTTCTAAGCGTCGTCAAGAGTTGTTGAGCGGGCATGGGCCGATCCGCCCTTGAGAATGATCGGCTGGTATCCTACGAATGATAGACGGTTCCTTTGTCAGGCTGCATTGATTGGACTCTGTTGTTGTTGCTGCTTTGCCTTTTAACGCTAATACTTCCCTATATACGCCGAGTATATATATATCTGCTTCGATGTATATAGATTTGGAAACTAATGCTTAAACCTTGCTTGTATCTGTTCGCTATCCGTCTCTGTGCCGTGTTGTATGCCGTATTTTGTGGTCTGTTGCATCTGTGTGTCCGATGGATCTTGCGACTGCCAATGAATGTAGTTGGCCACTTAGTCAGCATATGAAACTTGCGTGGCATGTCTCCAGGTTTGCCCTTGCCCTTGCTGTCTCGGCAATAACTCTGATATTAAGCATAAGTACAGCTCGGAGCTAGGACTATGGACCCCGCATAGATATTGACATGCCCTTTCCCTACAATTCCATGATTTACGAAACAATACAGCGGAATTCGACTTGAATGAGCTGTGTGTCCATATAACATATCGTACTTACTGGTTAGTAGAACGGGTATTGGTAGATTTGAGGTGTATTCTCAAGTAATTGGCCGACGACAAATATTGGTAGGCAGGTACCTAAACGTCAAGCTACCAGGTTGACCCAGGTCTAAGTATTATTGGCGTCGCTTGAGCCACTTTTACCTAGCCATTTGCAGTGCTCGGAATGAAATGATTACGTAGCTACCTACTTCCATACTGTAGCAACGTTCACCTATCTATACACACAATTTCACCCAGCTTGTGTCGGTACGAAGCAGACGTGTTTTCCCCCCTACGCAGGTAGGCTACCTGGCGTTTTACGCCTCTCCCCAAAAAGCAGCACGGCTACGATGCGCCCTCTGCACTTAGCGCTTCCAGTACGAGCGGCTGTTCGCTCCTTCACAACGCACTGGGCGCCTCCTCCTCGCATCGTCTCGCTACCTTCCCCGGCGATTCCACCGTCCCCAATCCTGCGCCATCATGCGGTGTGTCCACGACGGCCATTCTCTCGCACTGCGTGCCGCCGAAACGAGTGGCGCGATCCGCGTCGCCACGACCCGCACGAGCACCTCCGTCAAGCCAAGCCCCTGTTCACCTCCCAGGGCTTCAAAAGATTCATCCGGTCTCCAAGTCTACATACCGTGATCGTAGTGTCGATGGGCGGGGCCATCCTCTTCTATTTCTCGAATATTCAGACAGTGCCTGTGTCGGGGAGACGGCGTTTCAACTGCTACAGCGAAGCCAAGGTGAATGTGACGGCCGAGGCGCAGGCGAAGCGGATAGAATGGGAGCTCGAGCGCGCCGGCAGGCGGATCCTCGACGACTGGGACTGGAGGACGAGGCTCGTCAGACAGGTTATGCAGCGCTTGATTCCCGTCAGCGGCATGGAGGACTCACAGTGGGAGATCAAGGTCATTGATGACCCCCATACGGCTAACGCCTTCGTTCTACCCGGCGGAAAAGTGTTCGTGTTCAGTGGGTTGATTCCGATCGCGCGTAACGAGCATGGCCTGGCAGCTGTGTTGGGTCACGAGATCGCGCACAACCTTGCAGAACACGTCGGCGAACGAATGTCTTCGCAGCTGGGCGCTAATATCCTTCTGTACTCGCTCATTACCTTGACGGGCGGCTTTGGGATCCTCGTCACGTCGTGGATTGGAAACGCCATGCTCGATCTGGTTTTCTCACGCCCTATGGGCCGACGCCAGGAGGCTGAGGCTGATTATATCGGTCTTATGATGATGGCTGAGGCATGCTATGACCCACGCGAGGCTCTCGGCTTCTGGGAGCGCATGAAGAGGATGAGCGAGCAGGAACCGCCTGAGTGGATGAGCACTCACCCTTCGGTATGTATCGCCCCCCATGCTCTCTGCAAACCTGGAATATCATATCTCGGACCCCAAGCTAATTGTCTCCGTAGCATAGCAATAGGATACAGAAGATACAAGAGTGGATGCCGAAGGCCTTGGAAAAGCTGCAGGAAAGCGATTGCCAAGGGACTGCAGGATTCGCCAGCTTGTTCAGACAAGCTTTGCTGGGACGAAACTATATGGAGAAACGGCACGACATATAGTTCAGGCACAGCATCTCGGGAAGAGCGGTTGCATGTGTCAGAGTAAAGGGCATAGCTAACTTCAGTTTCTGATGGTACTCGTCCGTCAGCGCATATTTCTCGGCAGCGTGGTGCCTTTGATTTGCTTACCGATGTCTGATCATGAATACGCAGCCTCTTGTTGGCGGCATGAAGCTGTTGTCCGAGTCAACAAGCTTAGACCAATTACGAGAAGCGCCTGCACGATCCAGGCGAAGTGGTCACCGACCGGCTGATTCAGCTAAGCCTGTTCGAGTGTATATGCGTGTGCACACCCAGCTGGTGTGAACCATCTATCTCACTCTTCGAGGTATCACGGTATTTGTTACAGAAGTTTATATCGTGCACATATCTTTCATGCGCCCCTTCTGGTTCTCCAGCGCGAATCACAACTATCTCGGTCGGCTATGGGTTACGCGTAGCTGGCGGAGCTGTTGTCGATTCACTCACGGCTGTTCGATGACTGCGAAGTCACCATCTAGCGGTATCCTGAATCATCTTTTCATGCTACTCTTTTGGGATAGCCGGAGAAATTGGACGATTGTTACCACTTGGGGATGAAATCTAAGGTCGGATCCCTTGGAGTTATCCCATTTATTGGGCTTCAAGCTTCTGGTCCTCGTCTTGCTCATCATCTATGCGAGACTAGATAATAAGTTGGCAATGATTTGGACGATTGCTATAGTAAATGCTAATTAGACTAGATCCAGACATAAAGTCAAGTTCTAAAAGCGATGGATTCATGAATTTACGACAGCCTAGCCTTGTGTCGGCTTCATCTTGAAATAGACTCTTGAGCTACATATCATTATCACTAGCTATTATCACCACCGTTCTGACCCAGCTCTGTATCTGATAATCAGGAGGGATATCGGCCTCAGTTTTTCATGTCCGGATTCTTTATATTGGAGGAAGCGCTAGGCTAGGTCGCTGAGAATATTACTTGAGTCGCTACCTACATACCCATGTAGAGTGTCAGTACCTTCCTTGTTTCACAGGAAATCTGAGACGAGGGTGCACACAGCGCTCAAGAACATCAATGAAGGGCATAAATGCCAAGTTGTTACTAGTGGAACATGGGGTTCTTGCTTTGTAGTAAATCAATCGATATTGTGATTTGGTTGAAAGCTATTGGTACAGAATTGTTACTGTAAGATGGACAGGTTGCCTAGGATAAACTTCAGGATGTCCAACCAATCTGGCACCAATCCGAGAACAGGGATGTTGAAAGCAAAAACAAACTGGTGACATGTTTCCACTACGTCCTCGCAGAACTTGTGTCTTTCTCGTAATCCCATGTCGGAGTATTGGTCTCCTGCGAGCTAGAGTTATTACTCCATCACCCAACTGGGGAATTCCGTGTCGGGATCGGCGAGGTATTTTCTCAGTAATTGAAAAATATGAGTGTGCCCATACGTCTGGGCATATATTAACGCTCTTCCGCCAAAAATATCCACAATATTAACTGCAGCCTTATTCTTGAGCAGTTCTTGGACAATAGGGGTATTACCCCTGGAGGTGGCTTTAATCAATGCTGTTTCGCCGTTGCTGTCTGTTTCATCGACACCAGCACCGTTTCTGAGCAGAACTTCAGTAGTGTTGATATGTCTATTTTCGACAGCCAGATGTAAAGCCGTTTTACCATTATCATCCCTACTATCTACCCTAGCGCCGTTATTTAGCAACAATTCAATAATAGCGCTATGCCCGCGGCTAGCAGCTAAATGTAAAGCTGTTATCCTGCTTAATGTCGGTCTACGATGAACGTCAGCGTTATATTCGAGGAGCGCTTGGACGATTTCCGTGTGCCCCCTTCTTGCTGCTAATAATAATAATGCGAGGCTGGTTTTATCTCGGGTGTTGGCGTCGGCGCCGCTTTTGAGTAGCAATCTGGCCACAGATGTATGTCCATGTTCGACAGCCCATGATAACGGTGTTTTGAAGCTATCATCCTTTGGATCAATGTTTGCGCCTTGCTTGATTAACCTATGGACAGCATACTCGTTACCACAGCTACTCGCGTAGTGAAGCGCGGTGCGTCCCAGGCGGTCTTTCACATCATAATCTGTGGTGATGTCAAGAATATACCCCGCTGGATATTCCCGAAATCTTGAGCATGCAATGTGGATAGGTCTTCTACCCAAAATATCTCTAGCCGTTGCGAATTCTTTGAGCTGATTATAGAATGACTCGGTTCCCATTATACCAAGATCTAGAGCGACGTGTAGTAAAGAACGCTCCAAGTAGTCTTTCATTGAGATAAAGCGAGACGCAAATGGAAAGAAGTTGCTCGTATCCCAGTGCTGTCCCGCCATTCTCGCCTCTCCAACGAGAAGAGAATAGTGGATTGGAGGGACTGCAGGGATCTCACGTTCAAGGGTTATTCGAACGCGGTCTGTTGTCTGTTGGAATATATCCCAATATTTAGACAGCTCGTCGATACCTCCTAGGCTCCATTTCCATGTAGGAAGGGCCAGTAAAAGAATCTCTTGTATTACCAGCGCCGTGCCAATGTCCCCGTTCTCCCTAAACCGGTCGACCGTGGTAGGGCAGATCTGAGTAGGAGAAAAATATTGAGGATAAGTGACACCTATAGCAGCCTGGGCTAAATAACCGGCTAGCGAGTTATTGGAGATGAATATCTTTGGGAAGACATCGTTGAAGTACGATTTATTTTCCAGTTCAACGAAGTTGCATCTTTTATGGATGGGAGCGCCATAACCACAACCTGGAAAAAGCTCTTCTTGAGTGTTCAAAACAACCTCTATAGCTTTGTGATAGCAATTGAGCCGCCCTAACCACATAGCCCTCAGTGAGCTGAGACCGAATAGCATTAGTAAGTCTAGGGAGACACAGAGTAAAATACCAAGCGGCTAAGCTGATAAAGTCATGAACCTACATGTCGCGAATCAGTTGGCTATCTATGGCTTGGTTATTTGGCTGGGTAGGGATTGAGGTAGGAGCTCCCGCAGCCCGCGAACTTTCTGAACACTCAAGTTCTAACTCGGTACATCTCTGACACTTCTGCGGCCATGTTCGTTGAACAGGTGTGCACTATATGAATACAGTCAGTCATGTTAGCATAGGTAATTTGGGATTTCAGAGCAAGGAAGATACAAGACGCACAGCTTTCTTTGCCTTCCGACAGAATCGACATTTGTCATAATTCAAGGGCGGCCTTTTTCTCTTTCCGGGTCGTTCAGCCATGTCTGATCAAGTCATACACCAGGACAACGGATGCTAAGAATTCGCGAAGTCTTTTTTGTTGACTGTCGCAGTATCGCAGTGCAGACTTGAGGTAGGCGGAATGGCATGCAGGTTGGAGCCCAGGCATCTATATATGAACATATATATGTACCAGTACCCAGCGACTTCAGTTGCCATGGCATATTGAGGCTGAGTCCTCGACCAATAGCGCACTATCGCACTCAAATTCTCACAATCACACTGCCGCACTTGGAACATCACTTAGGGGTCACAACGCCAAGAGCCAATAACGCACTGTCGCATTTGGTACGGTCCATAATATCTCTATCTTCCGCCCCTACCTCCGAGCCACTTACATGGGTATTATGCATGCAAGTCGGCAAGTAGAAGGCAAAAGGAGGTCAATTGCTGCTCAGCTAAGGATCTGCATCATCTCACTGTCGCACTCAGACAGTGTAGTGTATTATACGTTCTGCACCCGAACGACGGTGATTATGGCGCGTCATCCATTCTTCACCCCATAGATTAGCAACGACTCGCGCCAGGACAGGCAGTTTATAGGTACTACGACTCTGCTACCTAATAATTATGTATGTACCCTTATAATGTATCACTGAAACTCCCTCGGTCTACAATTGAAGACAGCTTGAACTAACGGTCTCGTGGTCAAAGTGGGCGATTCGTCAGCCAATAACAACGTGGTCGCATCGGCGCACTTGATAATTGGCGGTGGTTCGCAATCGCCTCTGGCTCAAACCCGCAAGTGCTTATTCTAATCTGTAGATGCAGGATGCAGAAGCTCTTGAAGTAGGGTAACGTTGATTGCCACTATACCTGCAAATATGGTATACCGGTACGTCGACGACCCTCTCTCCCCTAGAGTTGGAACTGAGCCAATGCCGCCAGCTAGTAGGTATCAGGTACTTGACACTTTGCCCTGGTCGGTATGTCCAAGTCCTAGGTAGAGTACCCTATTGCCTTTGAGGCGGCACACATAGGCTGTGCGCGTGTTGACATATCATCATCGTCTTACACCTTGGACAATCTTCGCGGTAGTCGGGGATCCCTGCCGCTAAGCACATTGCTGTTGCTGACTACTTAGGTAGGTTGCCATCACGTAGGAGGACATGAGTGGGATCATCAAGATCAATAACCAATACCGCACTGTCGCAGTAAGGTAGGCGGCGCAGTAGTTATAGTATGCTGAAAGGTGCGTTGTTGAATTCTGCATTTTTTTCGTCTCAGCCAGCCGGGGGAGATACAGCGAGCTTACTACCGAAAACGAATATATAAGACGGGCCAGGAATTCTCAGAATGAGTTGGGTTTGAGGTTTGCTGTAGCCCGACTACTTACACCACACAAGCTGAACAGAAATTTTGAGTTAGACTCTTCATGTCTGCGATCATAGCTGAAGACATTGTGGCTCTTGTCACCAATCTTGTATCCCTTATTGTGGAGATACTCTCACTCATCTTGGCCTATCGAACCTTCCAACGCACGCGGGACCATAGACGGCAGCAACAACGTTTCGTTATGGAAAGAAGGCGTACAACGAAGTGAGCTAGGTACTTGGTCTGTAACCTCCCAGGTATGTGTGTAACCATGCCCTCTTTGGCCCTGGCCATAAATAACTTATAACAGATATTGGTAGATAGGTACATACCATGGCTGGCTATCTCGAGTTGTCTCGAGAAAGCCTAAATCAGTCAGCCAGTCTCATCCAAAGCGTCTGATCGAGCGAAACATCCCACGCAACCACATATCTTGGGGGTCTTTGGGGGATGGCAGGTTAAGCCCGGGAGCGTTTTATGACTTGGATTGGCTGGAAGTGTGTCAGCAGGGTGGATGAGGACAAACTGAGACAACGGTACACAGGATAACTTGGAGATGAGCTCTCCATCTTCATTATTCTGAATGTATATTAACGGATTGAATTAAACCGTCAGTTTACCGAATGGAATTGTGTTTCGCAGTATGTTCTTTGAGGTAACCACGCATTCATGAAAATACCTAGGTAATTGTACCGCGCACGCAGTCTCGGGGTAGGTACAATGTACGTAGTAGTGGAGCAAGCTTAAGCTGGGGCAAGTTGGGGAAGCCCCTCTTTAGACAAATCAGACGATGCCTAGGCACGCTGACAGTGCTTCGCTCCACCAATGCCGAGGCTCTTTCAGTCATTTGGGGAAGACAAATACCGAACATCAACTGCTCTCACGTCACTATCGAGACTACCTCACTCTCTCCTAGTTGAATCTCCTTGCCTCTCATTTTTCAAGCAGCATCCTATCCCGCGATAATATCTATACTCCACCTATTCTTACCTCATATACTACCTAATCAGCCAACATGTCCAAGTCGTTCACAGCCAAGGAGGTCGGCGATCACAAGGACGAGAAGAATGGCATGTACATCATTGTCGACAGCGGCGTATACGACATCACAAGTCAGTACCAACCAGCCAACATTTCCCTCTCTTTCTCTCAGCTCAACCCCCGAGTCTCCCGTCGTTAACATAGTCCTGTTATATCGTGCTGCAGACTTCCTTGAAGAGCACCCCGGCGGTGCCAAGATCCTGAAGCGCATGGCCGGCAAGAACGCCACCAAACAGTTCTGGAAGTACCACGGCAACAACGTTCTCGAGAAGTACGGCGGCAAGCTCAAGGTCGGCGAGCTTGCTGAGACGGCCAAGTTGTAGGACGAGAATGAAATCATACGCATATACAACCGCGCATGCGGGCCAACCTGTCCGCAATTCGATCATCCATCCCCATATCGTGCGCCATAGATGTCGATAGCAGAATTGGTCGTCTTGGTATAGAAAATGGGCTTTTCTGTGCTGTGAGTAGCGAAGAGGATAGAACAGCTCTTGCGCGTCGCCAATCGTACCGGAGCTTTGGCACTTAGGTCTAATGGTTTTCGAGGAGTGCCCAAGGTCTCCTTTGGAAGCCTTTTGGGCGAGACATTATATATAAGTATGGAACCGATCATCTTTGCTTTCTGTATAGACGCATATATAAGCAAGCGTTGCGGCTAGATAAGATACCCGATGACAGATCTTGGAGCCCGAAGAGAGAATACATCATATTTGAGTAATTGCAATCTAGCGCTACAAAGCGCCTACGCTCTTTTCATTGAACCCGCTCTGTCCACTTAGCAAGTCAATCAACTTTCAGATTTTCTCAACCATGATCGTCGATCCTTGTCTGCTATTATATCGTAAGGTGCCGTTGTGCAATACTTAGCAGTATTCATATGCAACGTCCCAAATCTTTTGCAGCCAAGCCTGGAACCACTCTACTCCCATTCAAACACTATGCCATTTGCATCTTGATCTACTTAAATAGCACGAGCCGAACCAAAGCTTTATGACCTACCAGATTGATTATCACTTTTGACTTTATACAGTTTGTTCGAAATCCTACCTCTGGGATAAATAGCCTTACCCTCAGCGGATCCCTTGTTCCACCCCAATTTCCATGTGAAGACCCAACTCGATTCAGTGATGCCCCAGCTGGAGCGGAGAAATTGTGGTTCAGGGACGAATAGTAGTATGGAACTTAGTCATAGACTGCCTGTCAAGTCGCGGAACTAACTCGTAGACATGACCGATTTACTGCAGCGCAATAACGTCAAAAACGCTAGCTTTTAGGATCTCCATGCCGCAATCGACAACCGGCTTTCACCAACCCTTTCGTGCATGGTCAATGCGCTCAGCAAAATAGTAGCGAGCTCAGCTGGTGTTATAAGAATTAGGTTCGGATGCTCGGGCGCTGGACTGGGAAGCTGTTGAGCAGTTCAGTTAGTGCTCGTGGATTGTAAACCTCGAGCCTAGCAAGCCGTATGATTGATATAAGTACATACATGTGAGTTATGCCTATTTCCGTTGTTTAATTCCCGTTCACAGATGCGGAAATGGTTACTTCTATGTCTGGTAATAAAGGCAACCAGACAAGCTAAATTGAGCGGACCAACTCTAGTCAAGCAACCCACCCGACCTACTAACGTACTACTATGTATTCATGTGTGGACTTAGTTGAAGGACTAGCCGAACTACTGTTTGGAAAGGAAATGAGCAATGCCAAAATGGAGTATGCTGAAAGTTGAGAGAGGTGGTTCGTGAATTGATATTCCCGGGGCCAGCCTTATATATCTTCGCACCTGTTTGGAAGATGTCCTGCAATATTGACCAGTAGTACTCATTTTACCTTTGGGGAATATGTGATTGGCTACCGAAGGAGGATGCCCTGCTTATGATGTGACTACAGCAAGTGGTACCTACATCGAATATCCCTCAATTTGGGAACGGCAATGTCTCGGTATCAACAGAGTGATCACTCGTGCTAAACAATCAGGCAGATTCACTTCCGATTGATAGAGTCGAAATTGATACCGAGCAGATCCAAGGTGAGTGCCTAGACCGCCAATACAATATATGACATGGCGCAGTGAAGCTGAGAGTCTTGGGTTTTCTTCGCATACTTAGAGATTACTGTATGGATAGCACAAGCCTTCTTCAATGAACTGGATAGACATGAGAGCGAGTTCAACGGTCTTCAAAATCCCCTGCAAGTGAAGCTGTTGAAACAGCACATGGATTCGAGTGGTTGAAGGCGCCGCACCTGCTTACATAGTACATCATGAACAGACATGCAAGGTTTCGTAGAAATGCCGCACGGGAGTCGGGAGAAGAAGGGACAAAGGCCAACCGTTGGCAACAAACACTGTGCTACATTCAGTAATACCTAGACTCGCTCGGCCTGTGTCTGGCATGGGATTGCCTGCCTGCCTGCAAAGTGATTAGACGATGCACCCTGCGAGGGTATACTAAGTAGTAGACTCTGATAAGAGCCGACGATTTGTTGCAGCCAGGCGAGCCAGGCTTCCACGGAAGTGGTTTAGTGTTTTGAGTAGTGGCTACGGAAGCTCGGACACCTTCTGGGATTCTTACTCGCCAATGGCCTCATGGCGCAAGAAACAGACTCCATTTTCTGTCCCATTCTTTGTCCGGCCAGGAACTTCACTCGCCTACCATGGTGTCAGTACTTACCTACTTATCCCACTTGCACTTCACCAGAGCACTCACTAATCACCCGCTATCCACTCCCGCAAATTAATTCCTCGCTCGTCCGTAACTTTGAAACTTCAATCAATAACAGAGTTCGATATTGGGTCGCCATTTCGGCCTCTACCTCCAGTCTTGTTTGTCTTAACAGTATCGAGCTCTCGAAACAAAGCCATTGTATCACTGCCCTGTCCCCTCCCCTCGTCCGCGCGGGTTGGATTGTGTAGGTATGGCAAGTCCAGGCGCCTTTTTCCCAGCCATCCACCTACGTCACTCAGTAATCCCGGGTAAGCAAATTCGGCATCACCGCCTCTATCTCTGCGCCGATAGTGTCGGCTTTCTTCGCGCATACTTCGTACATTCTTCCATCGCCTCGGCCATGACCCCGGCCGCATCCCCCATAGCCGATCTTGCTCATCCCAGACTGATCCCTCGCCTTACCCATCGTGGTATCGCACCTCTGCGCACTGTATGTCTAGCAGCCGCCCACACTGGGTCTGATGACAGCCGATTCCTTCACCTGTTGGTCGCGCAAGTCCATTCGCGACGACAAAATCGCGCAGCTCCATCCGGTACCTTACTTTAGGAATTACATACTTAGTTAGTACTTGCAAAGACGAAAGAAAATGGCGCCCTGCAAGTTCTGCCGTGGTACCCTGTCTAGCTCTCTGTGGTTCCCCCGTCAGCCAAGAAACCCAAGCTTTTCAATGGTTGCACGGGTGCTCCACCCTGCTTCTGCTGTACCCGCTGTACCCTGCCTGCAGTACTTCGGTACCTAGACTTGTAGCGTTTCTGCTCAGCGCATCGGTGCTGCAGCGAGGCAGTCTACAGACACCTGAACCACCTAGGTTAGCGTCCCTGCGTAGTAGGCCTGGTAGGGCACCTAGGTAGTGTACATCCAGGTACAAGGCTTCACGTAACCTCGTGGTGGTGGACTCAGTCAATCAGTACTAGCGCCGCCAGATGCCTGGCCACTGCAGACAGCCAGCCAGCCCGCCCAGACCCGCCCGCCCAGATAGCTCCAGCAGTGCTCCAGCAAAGCTACCGTTGCCCTGCTTCTCCAGTTAAACATTGTTATTACATGTACCTACTGCTTCCTTCCACTCGGACCGCTTTTCACTCTTTCTTCTCTTCTCTTTTTCTTCTCCCAACTCACTTGTCCTTGCGCAGTCCAGATCCAAGTTTTCAATTCTAACCAAGGCTCGTGTTGTTCGCAGAACAAACCACCTGATTTCGCTCCTCGCCCTTCCACCCTGACACCTTGCCGTCGTCGAAAACTCAATCCATGTAAGTGAATATTTCTTCTAGTCGCCCGGCCGACGCGCTTGGGCCAATCCATGCCCAGACCTGGAATTTCCCGCATACAACTCGAGCCTCAGCCGTGGTATGATATAATCGACCGCGATCGATGCCCAGGAGTGCGAATGTCATGAGAACCAACAAGTTTGAGACTCTGTTTTAAATTTTGTAGCCGCCAATTTCCGGACTTTGCTACTGCTACCTTGGCTTCTTTTGCTAGTTCATTTCATGCGAAAGTAGCATCGACTGACTCGTAATAGCCCAGCAAAATGCCTGCCATCAATACTGCTATTGTCGCTCGCGACACTCTTCACCAACTCGCCCGTCGCGAGAACTGTGAGCACCCCTTGGCACTTGGCTCAGTCGTCGGAGTTCCGATCAACTATGCTGGCTCTAGGTAGGCTTCGGTGACTAATTCAACGTAGGGGCTCAAAAGGAGGCTGGTGTCGTTGTTGTCTTTGGTAAGTGTCAAAATCTTTCATCAATTGTGCTGCTTGGGGGACAATTGATCGTCGGTCAAACGTTTGCTAACTCAAACCCCCTTAGCCATCGTTTTCGTCGTCGGTGTTGGTCTGGTATCCCTGTGGATTTCTAAGTGCCTCAAGGCCCGAAAGGCAAAGAAGGCCGCCCTCCCCGCATAAACGGCACATATCTAGAAATAGAGGGAAAGGGACACTCGTGAGGCATGCCATAAGATGGACCGACCGTCATCTAAGACCCCCGATATCGACATTCCCAATACTGTAAAGCTACTCTGCCTATTGGGCGGTTTGGTCGATTTCAACCGCCCATGTTCGGATTCAGTTTAGCGATAATGAGCGAAATTCTGGCATGTTGATTGCAATCGCATGACCAGGATTTGTACCTTGTCCGTCTGGCTTTCTACATGGGGGTCTTGGGCAATGGATAATATTGTTGATCAATACCCACATGCTTTACTACGAGCTTCGTTAATATCAATCAAATAAATTTGTTCTACTAATTACCTCTGTGAGCTGGGCCTGACGGTAACAGTGGCCGTAATAATCTATCTGAAAGCGAAGTCTAACTTATACACGACTTGTTTAACGAGCAAGTGTCGTCAGGTGCAGCAACAAATGCGACCCAAGTTAAGTCGCTTAAGTACTATGGTAGGGTATCTAGCATTCGCAGTATGTCTATAGCAACGACTTTTGTGTTATAATATACACAGTTTATATGGATATTCATGAGACTCGGAGATTGTTATGCTCCATCTTCTCCAAATGTATCAAGCCATCGGCCGGCTGTACGCATCGTCAGCAGGCACTCTCTTTGACATATCCGCGGAAGGAACTGACTTACCGGTGAGAATTGCCTCAGCTTAACTCCCGCGGACAAGAAGACGCGTGCCGTCTCGCCGTCCATGCTATATCCCTGACTGTACACAACCTCGCTGATACCGACCTGCACGATCTTGATACTGCACGTGAGACAGGGGCACGTGTTGCAGTACAGCACGCTGCCGTCGCGAATGCGCTCGCGCCCGGCCTCGAGCAGGGCGTTCTCCTCGGCGTGCAGACACAGACAAGTCGCCAGCGACACGCCGCTGGTGGCGTCGCCCGAGTTACACCGCGGACACCCGCCCTCGCTGCAGTTCGTCAGGTTCCGCGGGGTCCCGTTGTACCCCGTTGAAATCACCCGGCGCTTGCTGTCCACCAGGACGCACCCCACGGCCCGCTTCATGCAATTGCATCGCCGCGCCGCGAGCGAGGCTAGCGCCATGAAGTAGCTGTCCCAGCTTGGCCGCAACCGGTCCCCGTTGGTCAGGTCGAGCTTGCCGAGAGTGGCGTATAGATGCGCGAGGGAGTCCGAGGTGTTGAGGAGGCGGATCGCGGCGCGCGACATTAGCGGGAGGACGCCGCTCTCGGCGGAGTACAGGTGTGCGTCGGACTCGGACACGAAAGCCTCTAGGCTGAGCTGTTGGCCTGAAGAGAGCTTCCTTTGGTGCCGCTGCCATCGCACTGTTACGGGCGCGTCCACGCTAATCAGGATGAAGAAGGGACGGCGGCTTAGTGCGTCTACGACGCCTTCGCTGTGGATGTCTGTTGTTACCCATCGCGAGCGCCAGTGCTTCGTCACGTAGTCTAGGAGCTCGCCTTCGCTGGCGAAGGTGTGCTGCGGCGGGCTGTCTTTGAGACGGAGAGAAGTAGCATGGTGATTTCTCGAGACGACGGCGTCGTCTCCCGTTGAGCCCACGTGATTCTCAGAAGATGCTTTCGTCCCATTAACGGCGGACTCTGCTTGCTGCTGCTGCTCTCCCCCTTTTCGAGGTGTGCTGATGTGCAGCTTCACGAACCCGTGGTGCTCGACCAGGTATTGTGCTACCGTCCTCTTCCCCGCGCATTTCGCTTCAATGATGATGTGTTAGCTTGCTATATATACATGAGGAAGAATGATCGAGATCAGGGGTTGATTTTTGCGTACCGCCACATATACCGATCAGCATCGTTGTACTAAACTTAAGTACCAATTTCAATTTTTTATTCTATTTTTGAGTTTTCGAATGCAATCTCAAAGAGGAAAAATCGCCCCTTTAGGAAATGAGAGTTAAAATTTTCTTGGGCAAGTTTTGAAAAGCAAATATTTACTCGAAGGGTCAGATTTTGTCCCGAATTACTCCTAATGTAGATGGGTTGTCAATTCGAATTCGATCAATTAATTTTCATTCGCATTCAAGACGCGCCCTGTCGCGCTTAGACGTGCCTCAGCCCAAGTGAATGAATGAATTGAATGGACAAATCCAGCCCCCCTCCCCCACTAAAGCCATCGGCATATTAATTACATAATCATTTATCTGTAGGTGCCTTATGGATGGGTACTACCCACCTGTGTGCTACTGTACTCCAATATGCCTCGAAGTACGCAGTGCCTGACTCTTCTAGAACGTCCAAGGGAATATTTATGTGATAAGTAGACCGAAACAGACGCTCAGGAGGTTAGTGGGCTAGGTATCAATGAACACAATTCCGTGGGTGGTGGGAGTGAGTCGTCTTGCTTACCTAAGGCGTCTATAAAGATGACAGAGATAACTAATTCGTTAATTCGCATCAATTCGAGTAGTTACCTAGATATATGGAAATAAATAGGTAACTGTTGTCAAGTCACGCCATGTTCTCCCAAGAACTCAGGTGACTTTCCGGCGTCGTACATATCGAGATGTTCTCTGATATTAATATATATGCGACATGTGACCTACCTAACCTAAGTACCTACTTACTGTAGCTTTTGGAGATCACGGGCTCTCCACGGGTGGACTCGATCACCAGGTGCTGTTGCGCTGAGTACTTACTTATGCGGATAGTAGTATTGATGACTAAATGTGTATGTATATTGTTACATGGACGATAGATAGCAACGTCTGCTCTTTGATGTGTCTTCTCAGCTTCTAGCTTCTAGCTTCTAGCCTCTACAATCAATCTACCTGCCTTGGTGCTTTGGATGCGGTTTCTATCCTTATCTGTAAATCCCGATTGTCTGGCTAACAGGCTGAGATGCTTTGCCTAGGTACCTACATAGGTAAGTATTCTAGTGTAGGTAGGTATACCTAAGTATTGTAGGCAAGGACTTACCGACTTAAGCATAACAGCGCGACCCCACCCCCACCATGGCTGCCTACCTATCCCGGCTACCATGTATGGAGGCCCCTCCTACCTTACTTAGGTAGGTAGTCAGCAATGCATCATCCCACCTCCCGCTTCGCTTCCACTCGCTGCGCATCTCAGTCCTACCTCTCCTGCTGACGATCGACATTATTGCCTTGTCCAAGGATTGCGAGGCAGGACGGCAAGTGTGATACTGTAGATACCTACCTAGAGTCTGCTACAGTAAGCCCAGCTGGTAAAGCATCTGTTTTCGCCTCTTGCGTTGGTCATTCCATCCTACTTCGTCCCGTTCTATTCCATCCCACACCATCTCCTCTCTGCAGTTCAGACTCGCCGTTATAAACACGCATCATCATCATCGGCGCATAGACTACCACCGCTTTCCCAAAGGTACCTCCTCTTGCTCAGAGAATCCAGAATAATCTCGATATACCGTACTATCAGGGCAATTTGCTGCTTGACGAACACGGCCTCCTCGATAGCCTTGATCTATCGGTCCATCTCTCGGCCCAGAACCCTTGGCCGACATGACCACACTCAAGTTTGCGCCCTTCTCATCTGAGATCGAGCTACCTTTCTACACGGCTCTTTTTGCCTCGAAACTCGACCATGATAAGTTGAGCGACTCGGCGCGCCCCGTCCTGGGCTTATACGAACCCCGTCTCGGAGTGCATCCCGACGATAGCGTCAAGATGCAGGTGCTGGCCAGTGCCCTCACCAGCACCACGTAAGCCGACTCCGCCTTTGCATCGCTTGTGTATTTGTGTGCTTCCGTGCTTGACTCTATTACCCGGTGAACTAATGCCGTGAATTATCCTACAGCGTACCCGTCAATGCTGTCCGAGCTGAAGGCATTATCAGAAACACTAATACCCTGGAGGCCTTCAAACAGGCAGATAAGTCCGAGATACTGAATAATGCCGCTCGCCAAGTACGACTCCCTGTCGCTCCCCTCCTTTGATCACTGTATTTAGTTCTATGCTGATCGGCTTAGATCTGGGACGCGATCAACGATGGCACTATATATTCAGTGCCTTCTCTTTTGGCCTCATACGTCATACTCTCTTACGCCGACCTAAAGAAGTATCGCATGACATATTGGTTTGGATTTCCAACCCTCCCTTCAGACCCTGCATGGAAGCGCGCCGGTGAGATACAGCGCTTGACATCAGCTGAAAGCACTGCTTTGGTTGAAAGAGTTGGCACATGGCGATACTCTGTTGATAACAGAGAGTATGGGTTCTTCTTAGCGAAAAAGGTGCGAAGCAAGCGGTCATCAGCTAGCCTGGATAACCCTTCCGAGGACATAGGTTATGACTGGGATGTTGGTTCCTTGCGCGACTTCGAAACCGGATTCTTTCTCGGGATCCCGAAGGAGGACAGATATGTAGCCTTTGTGGACCCCTCGACATATGACGAACACCCTGCCTGGCCGCTGAGAAATCTCTTGATGTTAGTGAGGCAGCGATACCAGCTCAGTGAAGTCCAGATCCTTTGTTATCGTGACATCCAGGCACGCAGACATGAGGCTCGGAGTATCATCATGTCCTTACACATGGACCCGGTCGATGAATTGGTCCTATTAACAATGCCCAAAGCCACAGGGTGGGAGCGTAATCAGGCCAATAAGCTAACTGCGAGATCTGTCAGTCTTGCTGAGTCGATGGATCCGACTCGTCTCGCGGATCAGTCAGTTGACCTTAATCTGAAGCTGATGAAATGGCGAATCTCGCCTGATCTTAACCTTGATGCCATAAAGAATACGAAGTGTTTACTCCTTGGTGCAGGCACACTGGGCAGTTATGTGTCGAGAAATCTAATGGGCTGGGGGGTCCGCAAAATTACATTCATCGACTATGGTGCCGTATCTTTTTCGAATCCGGTACGACAACCTCTTTTCGTGTACGATGACTGCCTCAATGGGGGAGCTCCAAAAGCGATCAGAGCGGCACAGGCCTTAAAGCAGATTTATCCTGGTGTGGATAGTCACGGCGAAGTTCTATCCGTTCCCATGCTTGGCCATCCAATCGTGGAGAAGACTCAAGGCGATTTTGAGAAGCTGAAAACTCTAATCGATGAGCACGACGCAATATTCTTGCTTATGGACAGCCGGGAATCGAGATGGCTTCCTACAGTGATGGGTAAAGCTGCTGGAAAGATCGTCATGAATGCTGCGCTTGGTTTCGATACCTACGTGGTCATGCGACATGGTGCCGAACCTAAAGACGGCAGCGACAGTACCCTGGGATGTTACTTTTGCAACGATGTAGTTGCACCTGGCGATGTAAGGTAACCGGCCTCTTTGAAATATTCTTCGTTACTGACAGTGATGCAGTCACAAAAAGACTTGACTCTTGATCAACAGTGTACGGTTACGCGACCTGGCATCGCTGCGATTGCTTCTGCTCTTCTGGTCGAGCTTCTAACCAGTCTACTGCAACACCCCTTAGGCCACCATGCTCCAGCTCCGGTGTCTTCATCTGCGGCAACTCAGGAAGCCGACACCACTGATGAATATGCTCTCGGGATCGTACCCCACCAAATTCGTGGGTTCCTCAACAGATTTCAGAATCTTGTCATTAGGGGCCAGTCGTATCCTTGCTGCAGTGCTTGCAGTCCACCTATTATTTCAGCATATAGGAATGAGGGCTGGGAATTCGTCAAGCATGCCTTAGAGAATAAAGATTATGTTGCTGAACTCAGTGGGCTGGCTGAGGTTCAGCGAAAAGCCGAGGCTATGGCTGGTGAGATTGACTGGGAAGACGATGGATCTACACACGGCGATGATGACGAAGGAGTACTATTGTAGTTGAAGATACTCTTCCGAAGTCACCACCTCCGTCGCAGCCGCCTACGAAGAACTCGCATTGAACGATTCAAGTACTGGAAACGACCCCGCTGGAATGAGGTGATCTGGGATGGAATGTTAACAGCATCCACCACTCCGTTGGACTCGCCGTCTCATATTGCACCTCACATCACGCCACCTACAACTACGAGTACACCGTCGTTAGAAGATGTAGAGACTTTTGGGCCGAGGCCGGTAGAGATACGCTGGCCTCGAGATTCTGAAGCTACCATGGGCGCCGTATTATCAATTTTTGATATTTTGGAAGAAGGACCGCCATCATGTTCATCGATTGATGGGCGTGTGCCTCTCTATCACCACGTAGGTGAAACAATAATGCATGAAGATATTGCGTAGGCATGCTAGCATGGATTGACATATCAATTTAGCAATCACGGGGGAGTTTAGGGACGTTTGGCATTGAGACTCTTTGGAAATAGCATTTACATTGGTTACGGGGGTGGAGTTATTAGAATCCATACCTTCACTAGGCAAGCGGCTCGATATTAGCAGATTTAGGTATATAGGTCAATACATCCTGTTCACTTATAATTCACCCCGACGGACATATAGACTACGTTGTGCCATGCGTTCGTGAGCATTCGAGGCAGTAACCCCAAGACATCTTACAGCGTACTCTAGCATAACTGGGTAAACAAAAGTACCGTTCTAGCTACCATGATTTACCTGCGGCCAACAAACTATCTAATTGTTTCATAAAGGAGTGATAACGCTTGATCCCTTCGTGAATATTCTAAGGAATACTTTTGCTTGATTGACTCTGGTACACTCGTGCTATTCCTTTTTCCATATGTCTATGTTAATAACTAGCTTTTACGGACCACTTAGGTTACTCCATCCTATCACCATCCTCGTCTAACGATAGAGATTGATCGTAAACTTTCTGTTCGGAACTTGGCCCCGGAATGAAGCAGATGGCAACCTTGGATCTTCCCTGTCAAGAACTATATACTTAAAAGATTGGTCGGGTGAGCTTTTGATACCACTGCAGACGCGAATTCGTATGTGGTGCTGTCGTACTAGTGCAAGAAGTAAGACAGGCTATAAGAGTCCTGCTTCCGGTCTTCTGCATTTTGATGAAGCACACTAATAACCTAAAACCACTCTTTCTGGAATATCGAAGTATTCCTCTGCGACCTTCATGCTTGTCTCCATCCTTCAAAGCAGGAAGATTCTGTTAGACCAATAGGCTCCTGTCAAGTATATCGAGATGATTCCATAGGTACCGTAGAGCCGGCAGGTTAGTGTCGAGTCATGTAAAAGGCCGAGACCATATAACGCGTAGGGGAAAGAGGAGCTACAACGCGAGCTCGAACCTTGATTGATTACTCAGATGGTATTAGGGTCGCGTTGGTGAAACCTTCAATGCCGTGCTGCGTGCTCCTTAGACCCAAACTCAATCTCCCTCACGAGGCGTCTACAATAACCGCTCGGCCCCCCGGGCACAATGGCCGCTAAATCCCACGATCTTCTTCTCATTCATACGAGGACAGATAAACGAAGAAACCTCTTGCTCCTATTTTAAAAGTTTAGGAGTTTCTCCCTTTACTCTCATTGCTATCAGCCTTGCGTTTGTCGTAGCCTCAGCACTATATGTTAGTTGGGCTCTCGTGATCCAGCAGCCACCCCAAGATTGCAAACGTCCGAGCAATTTGTAGCTAGTTCTACAGGGCAAAATCGTTTGCGCATTACACCTCATTCACTGAATGGCAATTAGCACTACAACGCCAAGCTCACCTCGATCATATAGTGAGCGGGGGCAGATAGTCATCATATTGCCAATTCATTTCTTTACCCTCCCTTCGAAGCTGTGGTTTCTATACTTCCTCATACATAAGAGGTATCGAGGAAACTTAATAGGTCATTCCCTAGAATCGGATATCTGGTGTGCTAGCTACGTTGATTGTGATAGCCTAGCTGTGTCCTATCAAACTATTCTCTCCCCGACATTCTATGATTTTACACCGTGGGCAGTCATGGAGGATCGACCCAATGAGTTAGAAGAAGCCATTCGCAACATTGTCCAGATCATGAAGCAAATCCCACAGCTCGCAGAGAACTGGCTTGGCGTCGTGGGAAGTCTGGCATTGTGGCACTACCTCCCTTCTCGCCCACCAGGAGATGTACGGCTGATAACACCTTGAGGTCAATCTCCGAATAACTCGCTGATTATCTTTCTAGGAAATCGAGTTCGTCACAAATGTTGCACACATCAGCTCTCTGAAAGAGGTTAGTCTTCTTGTAGTTATTACCAGATTGGACTCTCATCTCTGTTCAATGCTTGCTGACTGCCGTATATAATGGAGATGTTGCTAGACCACCCTAGCTCCCCCTTCAGAGTAGAAAGGCAGGCCTTTCTCTACCGTAGTCCCGCAGGCCGAGACATCCCAGTAAAAATATCCTCACGGTGGTGGGTAAGTCTACGCTCCCGTGAATCCCACGATACCTATCAATCGGGTTTCCAACTTTTCAAGCATGCACTAATACGCGCACTCTCAGTGTCCTCAACTACCGGAACCAGAACATCTCGTTCGTGGCATCCCTTACGGCGGGGTTCCTTACGTATCGTTGCCAGAACTAGCCTCCTTCATGCTCAAGTTGAGCAAATCGAAGACTCTTAGTCAAGAACAACGGCGACGGAACTCCATCGACGCAGCGGAACTCATAAATTACGAGTTGCGGCGAGACTCCCCAGATCACGACGGGGCCCCCATCAAGGACGAAACCTTTCGAGCACGCAAGAGAAGATACCTGCAATCAATGGCCTTACGGCTGCCACCGGCCGAAGACTCGGCTGTCGTACAAGGAGATGAAGTCGAAGAGGACGCTGAATTCTCACTGTCTCCGGTCATGCAGACGCTGCCGCCCCTCGAGGCCTGATAATCCAACACCGAAACTCCATGCCGTAGCCAAGACACGGCGGGAGCCGGCGATTCGTCGTACCGTCCTGTAACTCCTTGACGCGGGTGCAGGCGATTTGAATAATCACCCACATCGACTTTCAGAAGAGCGAGGGAGTAATCTGGTGAGACAACTATTTACAAGCAAGCTGAGCTGGCTTTTGTTTCAGAGTTGAGCTCTGTTGAGCTATAGAATCTATTAATCATGTCTTTATTGGATCTGCTTCTATTCCTTCCCGCCGATCGTTGGGAGCTTTTATATCAGTACTGTTGATCAATACACTCGCTACGCAATAAACCTGATTTCCCCTCTTTTTTGACGAGCTGTGGGTGTTGTCGCTCATGCTGTACGTGGTTACCTTCTTTGTTATGTCCGATGAGCTAGCTCGTTCAGCTACGTTATCTCGTGCTTTCGTATGCATGCAGGCATGTATGCGCTTAGGGATGAGACAAGGAAGATTGGCCGGGCCGTCGCTGATGCAGGGTCGTCGTCGTGGCAGACCTGCGACCTGCCTGCTCTCCTTAGGTCCTTTTCAACTCTATAGTATTGACTTGCGAGCTTACGTGCGTGTACGATTATACATTGCCAGATGCTTAAGTAGAGACCTGGTGTTCCACAATCATCGGCTCGGAGACTGGATTGTTTCGAGTTGCTGGGTATATTTAATGCTATAGCATAGACGGGTAGAGCAGCCAATGCCTAATTGTAATTCCTATTATGAATACGTTCATCCGTCCGTCTCAATCTCTACTCAAAACTTGATAGCAAGAGTATGGTTTATGGCGTGATAGAACGAGACAGGGCTCGGTGAAAGTTTTGCCAGCATAAAAGTCAAATAGTAGGGCTACGTAGTCTTCGTGGTTCCAGGAATCCACTGACAGGATGGCGTACATGTCGCTGGGTTTAGTTAATCGTAACTACCTAGGTAAGTCTAGAATTAGATCATTTTCATTCATAATCCGATATGATCCAGATATCGCTCGTACAGGAACAAGAACATAGGGACACTGAATACTTCGTAGGTGGTGATTACGAGTGTCCTGTTTCTCATGTAGAATACAGTGTTTAATACAGTATTTACACTAGTAAGTAGAACTGTGGGGGTCACATCAGGGCGGGATCAGCTCCGACAGGCTCAGGTAACATCAAAGCGCTCTGCAGCGAATGAAATCCGGGGCAATACTCTCCTACCCCCCTGTAAGACCTACCTTGTCAGGTATTATGGGTCCAGGTCAGCCTTGGCACTTCGGACAGGTGGGCTATAAAGTCAAGTAAGGTACATAGGTAATTTATGTAGAAACTCTACTTTATGCAATGTTGAATAGTTGAGTAGCCTTCCCTTAGCCTTAATAATCGTTTGGTAATGCCTTTACATATTTACGAGTAACGATCGTAGCTACTCTTTTAGAATTGCCTCCTAAGCTTTCATAACTTATTTATATATACAATTGTAGAAAGGCTTTTATATATAGCCGTACTTTCGGTTCTTGAAAAACTACACTTAGCGATAGCTTCAATCCGAAGACCTTCGAAGCCCTTCGAAGGCTGTAAGTCACTCGAAAAATCCAAAAGTATCTCTGCTCACAGGGGTCAAAAAACTATACTATAATAGGTGTAGTTTGAGGGCCCCTGCTAGCGTTGGTACCTGACAAGGTAGATTTTACTAGCCTACAACTATGTAATGTCTGGGGATTTCCTCAACGGGCTGGATGGATGTCCAGGGTCCGTCAGGGGCTCGTTGTCTTGGCTCCTTTGCCTGGACAGTACCAGGGCCGACGGGTTCCATCCTTCGGTTTCATGGTCGCATCGTCATCGTCAGCTGGGTGGCTGCATCGATGAATCGATCACGTGGCTCACTAAAAACGAAAGGAAGAGGACCTACTGACCAGATGCTGACCTACCTACAACACGATGATGATGACATAGCTCGTACTTATGTGGTGCTCGTCCTTCATCTTTGCACAACTTGCATAGTATTACGGTAATAATAGTGCACCACTAGTACCTACTCTGTACCTACCTAGCCCCCTCGCCTCCACAAAGAGAATCTGGCTCTGCCCCGGTATCCAATGGACCTTGAGCGGCAGCCAGCCAGCCAGCCTTGTAGCCCAGCAGTCTCAAAGCTAAAATACACTTCTCACATCTCTTCGCTTCCGTAATACGTACGGTAGCCAGCCATGAGACGGTTTATCCAGTCCAGGTTCGCACGGCGGGAATCCGTGCACGATTACATCGGCGTCCTGGTGCCGCTGGAGGAGGCCCATCTCCACAGTTACTCCGCGAGGTGTGGTAAGGCTGAATTCGAGCACCGCCAACGCGACGATGGTGATGCTGAAGACGACAATGCCGCCGATCTGGAGGACGAGGAGACGGCCCTCGGCACGGCGTTTAAGAGCAGCGATAATGAGGGCGAGGGCATGCTGCAGATGGACGCCGCCGAGTATACCGTAGAAGGTTTACGCCGAGACGCACGCAGAGGTGAACCCGGACGTAGATGGACCGAATATGAGTGTGAGTTGGCATTGCTTTCTTCTTTTACTTCTTCGCGTCATTCATTGGAGAAGTTTTTATTTTTATTTTGTTTAGTACTTATATAATAACTACATACAGTAAAATCTAAGATCATCAACAAGGCCATCCAAGATATCGGTATGGGACGGTATAACTGGCAACTCTTTGTCCTGTGCGGATTCGGCTGGTTCGCTGACAAGTAAGTCATCTAATGTGTAACACCATTCAAGCCTGAGTCTCGGGACTAACAATCCTCGTTTTTGTTCTTTAGCCTCTGGATGCAAGTAAGTCAACCAGGTTCTTTTTAAACATCGAGTTAAAACCCCCATGTCTCACAGCCGTGTCTTACTAACCCGTCTATCAGGGCGTATCCTTGACCCTCCCTTCATTGTCGGGAGAGTTTGGCGTCACAGAGAAGCACGTCAGATACACCACGAGCTCACTCTACGTCGGCTTAAGCATTGGTAGTGCGCTATGGGGTCTAGGCGCCGATATCATGGGGAGGCGGATTGCCTTCAATCTCACACTGCTCATTACGAGCATATTTGGCACCCTGGCCGCGTTGGCGCCCAACTGGCCCTTCGTCTGCATCCTCTTCGCCCTAATGGGTACAGGCGTAGGCGGTAACTTACCAGTCGACGGCGCGCTCTTCCTCGAATTTCTGCCCGATGCTTCGAGCTCGCTTCTGACGCTGCTGTCTGTATGGTGGCCTGTAGGTCAGCTCGTGTCATCCCTGTTCGCCTGGTACTTCATCACGAACTGGCCCGTTGACCAAGGCTGGCGCTTGTTTATCGCCACCGTGGGCCTCGTCACCTTCGTCATGTTCCTGATCCGTTTCGGCCTGTTCCACCTCTTCGAGTCACCCAAGTACCTGTTGTCACAAGGCCGGCAAGCCGAGGCCGTCGCCGTTGTCCACGGGATTGCGTTCCGCAACGGCAAGAAAACGTGGCTGACGGAAGAGATTCTAGACGGCGTCGCCGACGCCGAGGATGTGCAGAGCGGCGTGCCCATCCGGGTCTCGGCGAGTAGCCTACTGAAACAGAACCTTAGCTCCTTCTCGCTTAGCCATATCCAGCCCCTATTCCAGAACCGCAAGCTGGGCCTCACCACGGCGCTCATCTGGTTCTGCTGGGCAGCTATCGGCATGGGCTACCCGCTCTTCAACGCCTTCCTCCCGCAATATCTCTCGCACGGCGGGGCCGAGGTATCATCCTCCGTCGCCACCCGCAGCGAAAGCAGCGCCGCCACGGCAGAAACATACCGCAACTACGCCATCATCTCCGTCGTCGGCGTGCCGGGGAGTCTCCTAGCGGCGTACCTCGTGGATCACGACTCGCGCTTTCTAGGGCGCAAGGGTACGCTCGCCATCTCGACCTTCGTGTCAGCCGTGTTCCTCTTCTTGTTCGTGACGCTGGGTACGACGCCCAACAGCCAGCTCTTCTTCACCTCGGTCGAGGCCTTCTGCCAGAACATCATGTACGGCGTCCTGTACGCCTTCACGCCCGAGATCTTCCCCGCCCCAGTGCGCGGCGCCGCCACGGGCGTCGCGAGCTTTCTCAATCGCGTCGCAGGTTTATTGGCGCCGCTCCTCGCTGCCAATGCCCCCGGCGACGGCACCACGACCCCGATTTACCTGTCTGCGGCGCTCATCCTCGCCGCTTTTGTGGGCATGGTGTTGATCCCAATCGAGACGCGGGGAAGACAACGTCTCTGATCTCCTCGAGGCCGAAGCGGTAGAAGCAGAGCTCGAGGAGCTTACACATGTCGCATATGTGTACATAGGTTAAGGTGCAATAGTATATATATATACACATACATAGTATTAGACAGGCATCACATTCTAGGAGTTATAGCATCAAACTGTTTTTCTATCAGTACTTCAGCACAATAATACGCATGCACATGCCTATGAAACTAGTTTCGCAACTTAAATAATTCAGCCGTGTCTCATTATCTGCTCTAATAAGTCTATATAAGCCAGGAGGAGATATGGCTATTTCTATTTCGTGCCTTTAGCTCCCGCGGGAGCATCAACCCTTCTCTTCTGCAGCGACTTGCCCACTGTAGTTTGTTGAGGTCAGTATCTATTGTTTTTTTTTCTCTCTTTTGGAGGAATGAGTTGGGATATAGAGCTCTGCACGTTCCTGAGACACGCTCGTCATCCCCGCGCGTCCTCACCTCTTCACCTCTACAACCTACTAGAGCCTAGGAAGAAAGAAATATTCCAGAAATCTACTTACTTGCGTCCCTGACCATGGGATCGGCGCGGATTGTATTCTGTACAAGCCACTCCTTCAACTTGCCCCGCATATCCCTAATGGCATCGGGATTCCCTACAAACGGCGCCATTTCGAGTTCCATAAGACGAGCGGTGTCGGTATCTAATAGTTTAGTAGTCTGTTCTAGACGCTCGAGGTTTCGCAACAGGGCCTTCTCTTCGGCGACAGCCTCTTGATCCCGGCCAGCGCGGAGTATGGGGCCCAGTTGCCCGATAGCAATATATATAGCTATGGCGACGCGACGGGCGAGCGAGATGACCTGGAAGGGCAGGTAGGGTTCGTGCGGGGTGAAGCGCGAGAGGAACGGGTTCATTAAGGCCTCGACGAAGTACGGGAACTTGGGGCGCATGACAACGTGTGTCTCGAACACACAGAGACTGACCAGCGTCAACCACCGCCAGTAACGCCCTACCTCGAAGTAACCCAGAAACCCCAGCCCCCATAAACCGGCGGCTGCGAAGCCATAGTGCAGAAATACCTTGTGTTGAAGGCCGCGCCACACGTAATCCTGGATCGTAGCGCAACCGCGCCATGTTAATATTTCGGGGCCGAAGCGCTCGTACGCGAAGCGTTGGGCATTATTCGTCAAGACGTCCGAGGCTGTCTTAAGGTGTATGTAGAAGTCTCCGGCATCTTGGGCGCCTGTGGAAGAGGAAGACGATGAGGAGGAGTATGCGACTTTGTCGGGGTGGTGTTGGGCGGCGAGACGGCGGAAGCGGCTCTTGATGACGCGGTCGCTGGCGTTGTGGGGGACGTTGAGAGTCGCGTAGAAGTTGCCTGCACGTTGTAGCTCCCAGTGGGCTTCATATATTATGTAGAGGAGGTAGAGGATGATGACGAGGGCGTGGATGCGCCGCCTGTGAAGCTGCCAGCGGGGCGAGCCCTCTGGCGGGTGGGGGTTGCCGGTGCGGATGGTGAGCCGATAGAATCCACTCTGAACCCAGCTGGTTATCATCTGTTTCGGTGGGAGAGCTCCATGTTAGCTGCTTTTGCGAACAGTGTCTTTGGCAGATGGTGAACCGGACAGGCATACAGCAAGGGAGAGAAAGAGAGAGAGAGAGCGAATACATACGTCAGGGAGGAATGTCCATCCCAGGAGGGACAGCACGGTAGATTGGGAAGAAGACATGTCGTGGGTAGTGCAAGAAATGCGTTTTACAGAGTTGGTTAAGTCATAGCGGGTTTGGTCTTCGTGATGTCGAGCTCTTTTGCGTCTGGTCAGTTGAAGATTGGGAGAATGTTTTGTCGGCTTAAAGAGGGATACGTATGTGGTAAATTAGTAATGCAGGGAGGGTACAGTAGGTACTCAGTAGGTAGCGGCTAGAGATGGGCGATGGGTAAGGTTAGTAGGTCGGTAACCGCACCTTCCCACGCGAGCCACCCTTGTGAGACCCACTACCCACTGTACGTAGCCTACAGGTATACAGTCTCCCACAGTGGTCCTTGGCAGACCCAGAGACTTCACCTCTACAACTTCACAATATAGACGGATTGACCCATACTACCACAATTTGGTAGCTAACGATTGTTGCACGCCGGCCGCGTTTTGTTTTTTCTTTACTTTGGCATCAGTTAATTTTTTATACCACCAACACTTCCCCCAAGCGTCACTTACTACCATATAAGCGGGCCGGGTATAAAGGTTATTATACCCGATAAAAGATTTTTTAATATTTTCCATTAATAGGTATTAATTTTATAGCCTTAACTAAAAAAATACCTCCGTTAAGCTTTAATTAAAAAGAATTCCCATTTTTTAATTTAAAAAATACTTATTTTTCCTTATAATTAATATTAATTAGCTTAAATTTTATATTATAAAAAGCTTTAATATATTAATTATTATACTTTAACTTTATAAATTATTTTTATATATAGTTTATTATAAATATAAATATTTAATAGGCTTATTATACCCTTTAATTAAATTTAAATTAATTATTTATAAAAATTATATTATTTAAAAAGGATTATTTACTTTTTTAAATAGAATTTAAATATTAATTTAATATTTTTTTATATTATTAAAAAAATCTATAGCTTTATAATATTTCTTTATTTAAAAGTAATAAAAATAATTATATAAATAAACTTATTATTTATTTAAAAACTTTATAATTATAATTATTAATTAATATTAAAAAAGTATATATAAATTTAAATATATTTAATTAATAAAATTTATAATTTATATTATTTATATTAAATATAATAATTATATTTAAAATTATTATATAAATATTTAATATATTTATTTAAATATTAATTATTTTTATATATTTTATTACTTTTATAAAAGAATAATTATTATTTTAACTTAATTATTTTTACCTTTATTAATTATTATTATTATTAAAAGGATTTTTTAATTATTTAAAAGAAACCTTAATATATATTAAATATTATTTAAACTTATATATTATAATAAAAGGTTTTATAATAAAATAGGTTAAAGCTTTTATTAATAAAATAATAATAATTTAAAATTAATATTATATATATAATATAACTACTTTATTAATTATATAAATTTAAATTAATTTAATAATAATTTAAGCATTATTTATTAAATTTTTAAATATAAATTACTTTAACCTTAATATTAAAAACCTTACCTTTATTAGTTTTATAATTAATAGGAAAGTTATTAAATATATAAATATTTATACTTTTATAAATTATTTAAAATATTTTATTATTTATTATAATAATATAAAGGTTTATAAAATTTAAATTTAATATTTATAAGGCTTAGCTTTTATTTAATATTTATAAGTTCTTTTAAAAGGAAATAAATAATTATTTTAAACTATTATTATAAAAGCTATTTTTATTAAACTTATTAAAAGACTTAAACTATTATAATTTATAATAATAGTTAAACTTTAAGCTTATAAATTTACTTTAAAGGATATTTATAAAAGTTAAAATATTTAAAGCTTTATATAATATATTATTTAAAATATTAAAGGAGTCACGGCTCTTAGCCCTTGGGCTAGCCGTACGGGTGATAGTTCTATTCTGTAGCTTAGTCAGTAGCCCTACCGGACCTCCGGAAGCCTATTCAGCCTACCGTAGCGTATATAGCCTAGTTGACGAAGGTCATGACCTGGCAAGTCATCCTTTACTTCGTCACCATACAATTAATAGTGTGTTTCCAGTATTCACCGACGACACTGCACATCGCGCCCGTCGTGATAAAAGGTTATAATTAAAATAAAATAAATTAATTTAAAGCTATATTTAAAGCTTTTAATAATAATATTTAAAGTTAATTAATTATTCCTATTAAAAATATTAAGCTAAAAGTATTCTTTAAATAATTATATAAAAAAGAAGAAGTATTTAAAAAAATAACTAAAGATAAATATGTTTATATATAAAGTAACCTATACCCTTTCCCTTATTAAAGCTTTCCTTAAAATTTTCCTTAACGTTATTAATTTTAAATTAAAATTAATTTATATAACTATAATTAAAAAGGAAGAAACTTTAAAGGTTATAAAAGTTATAAAGGTTTTCCCTTATATAATATTAAATATTTTAATTAAGGAATTTAAAGTTAATCCTTTCTTTAAAGTTAAGGTTAAATATAAACCTTAAGTTAAATTCAGCCTTAAGGTTAAACATTATAATAAAGGAATCCCTTAATCCTTTAACAATCTATTATAAATTAACCTATAAATCTAATTTTAAAGAATAAAAAACTACTAGCTTTACCTTTAAAGTTAAGGTAGTAAAACTAATAAAACTAATAGGGTTAAATATAATTATAACTATAAAGGGTATATTATAATAAGGAATAAAATTAATAAAAAATCCTTAATATAAAATTTATTTTTATATAAAAAGATTTTAAATTATTTATATATAAATTATAAAATAAATTTAAATTATATAATTTTATATCTTTATAAATATAATTAAAATATTAATTTAAATATTAAACCTTATTAATTAAATTAATAGAAAATAATAAATTTATAAATATTTTTTATAAAATTGTTAAATCCTTTAAATATATTTATTATATTTATAAATAAGTTCTTTTTAATAAAAATAAACTTTATTATTATCTTTATAATAAATATAACTTTTTTAAGGATACTTTTAATATTAAATATATAAAAATTATTAATATATTTAATCTTTAACCTATTATTAATAATATAAAAAAAATAGTTTAAATTCTTAAAGTAATTTAAAATCTTTAACTATAAATAATTTATTTATAAATAAATCCTTTATTAGGTTTAAATATTAATTATAGCTTTAAATTATATAGCTATTTATAGTTTTATATTATATTTAATATAATTAACTTATTAAAGGAATATAACATTTATAATAATATTAACTATTTAAAAACTATAATAAATAAATAATAAATTAAATATATTTATTTTTATATTAAATAAAAAAAATATATTACCTTAATTATATTTAAGGATATTAAAAATATTATATATATTATTAATAACTATTTTTTATTATTTATATATTTTTAAAATATATATTTTATAATTAAATAATTAATTATAGCTTACTTTATTTAAAAGGTTATATTAATTAATAACTTATAAATATCATAATCGGGAGTTTAGGGTATAGCTATATTAATGCTATGGATAAAGATTTTAAGCTAAGGAAGAAAGGAAGGAAAGATAAAACTAAAATATAAGCGTACGTGGAAATATACGCGTACCAACGGCTATTATAGGTTATGTAATTTTATCGGTACGTATTTTATATATTTCTATAGTATCCCTTTATAGTATATATAGTATTCCGGTATAGTATATATTTAATACGTTCGTTATACTTCCCTCTACTAAAATTAAAATATAGGCGTAAAATAGGTTAAGGAATTATTTATAGCGTTTAGTTTTAGTTACAATGCTATTTTATACGGTAATGTTATCGTTGGGGTAGTTAGTAGTAAACTTATTGGTTATTATAGCTCTTATCTATTTGTTTAGCTATTTAGGCGGTCCTAGTACGCTAAGCTATCTTTTATAGAACTTTTGTATTTTAATTGGCGAATTTTTAAAATTCTTTACCGGGTACTAAGTATCGTCGGGGTTGTAACCTTTCCAGGCAATTTGGTATTATAGCATTTTATTATGCCCTATTATTTATAACCTAAATAGCTATTTAACTTTTTATTCCGGTCCTCCTTTAATATCTTTAGGTTTTAATAGTAGTTAGGTTTATTAAAATAATAGGTTTTTGCTTACTTTACGTAGTTGATTTATGTAAAAAAGGTTAATTATCTTTATTAACTTTAGGAGGTTTAATATATAGCTATATCTTTTTTTTTTAAATATTTTAAAGGGTTTAACCTATTAGGAGTCTAATTGGGTAGTTAAGCTATTAGTTATAAAGCTCTTCTTTTTTAAAAAGACTTTATTTCTTATATAAAAGTCCACCGGGTATTGCTTTTTATTTACCTATATTTCTTACCTTTTTTATATAGCTTTTGCTACTTTATAAGTTGCTTTTTATATTTTATAGGTTTATTATACTAATTATTAGGCTAGCTTTTCGGATACTATCTTTTTAACGGTATTTAATAAGGGTAATAATAAAAGGTTCCTTACGTTGGTTTTTATTAGGACCTTTAATAGTACTATATTAATAGCTAAATGCTAGGAGGCATTATATGCGAAATTTAATACGGGTAAATAGGGGTTCCAATTATCCTAGTACTTATTAATGTAAAAGTATAACCATTAATCTAGCTTTTAATTTGTAAACTTTATAATTTCTTATATTTAGGGGTAAAAGGTGCTCCTATATTAATATTTGGTATAGGTTAACTTGTTAATTTTTGTTAAAAAGTATAAAATGAAGGGTTCTACGTTATTTAAAATCCATACCTTTAGGAAACCTAGGAAACGGTAAGTATATTTATAGTATTAATATATTATATCTTCCGCTATATCGTTTTTCTTACCGGGTATTATAATTAATAAGCAGCTAAATTTATTAATAAATGCTTATATATAATTATAGCTATATTTATTTAAAGGTATATCCTTCCCGTTAATTACAACGTAGCGTTAAATAGCTATAGGGATTAGTAATAGGTATAATAATCCAAATGTTTTATTTTAGTGGATCTTATTCCGCTAATAATTATAATAATTATAAATATATATTTAAATATTTCGTTTTAATAAGGGCTAATAATAATCCTATTTAATTATTTTAATATATTTATTTTATTTAAGGTAAATAGTAATTATTAAATAGTAGGCTTCTTTAATTAAAGCTA